TCTCTCTCTCTCTCTCTCTCTCTCTCTCTCTCTCACACACACACACACACACACACACACACACACACAGAGGGGTAAATGGTAGACAGTTCAGAACTGCTAAATTTAGCAATTTGTTTATTATTGCTGATTTTTATATACTGCCTCCCACCCCCATGGCCATAGGCTCTGGGTGGTCCATCAAAACTTAAATATTTTTGTAGAAGATTTTTTACCAGAGCTACTTCTTTGTGCAAGCTTTTCCAGCCTGTGTAATTACTTCGTATATTTTCTCCATTTGCAAGATCTCCAGCTACCATCTGAGAGCCTAGCTTTTGTCTGCACTTTGAGATGAGGAGAGAGGCAAGCCTTTCTTTCTAATTTCCTCTTCGTGAGACATGCTGGTTTTAGTCTGCTGCTTTCTTTAGATAGCACATCCCAGTCTGTTTTTATAACCAGAGGATTCATTGATTTTTCGCAAGGCATATACTTTATTTTCTCGTATTATCCCTCTGCTAATGTGGTGCATCCCTGCTTCACACTCCCTTGGGATTATTTGCTAAAGCCCTATTTTTAACTGAAGAATGGACATCAGAAAAGGTGCAGAGCTGAAGGTAGCCACAGATTAAAGAAGATTGGCTTCAGCCAGCTTCTTGCACTATCTTTATCAGTAGAAGAAGCTACATGATTGGACAAAAGAAAGCAAAAGTTAAAGATAGTAAAAGATGTAGAATATGAAGTCAGTTTTTGAGATAGTTTAAGAGGTACAAAGTGTTCTCCACTATAGTGCATAGATATTGTTAAAGATAAAATGATTGAAACTTGGAGTATTTGAGCAAGGGAGGAAAACTACCTGGGAGATGCACATGCAGGCCAGATGCTGAAGAAGCTTCATGAATATAGTTCCCATTTGCTTAGAATACCTGAGTGTGTGAGTGTGTGTGTGTGAATTCTGTTAAAATTCCCATATTGCTTTTTACAGAACGTTCTCTTTTGTATGTTTTAGATCTAATTCAGTGCACAAATGAGATGAATGTGAATATCCCACAGCTGGCAGACACGCTTTTTGAGAGGACGGTGAACAGTAGCTGGGTCGTCGTGTTCAAAGCTCTAATTACAACACACCACCTCATGATGTATGGAAATGAGGTAAGGCAGTAGTCGTTTGGGATAGACTCTTACTTTGAATCATGGGAAGGGGTTCAGAAGGGGTGCACGTGATCTCTGCGAGGGCAGAGTGTCTGAGGAACTCAAAAGTACAAGTAGGAATTATATATCTGGCTTTCTTTCTCACTAGAAAACAGATCATGGCATTCCTGTCATGTATTTAGGTCCCTGTCCCCAAGAACATAAATTTTCCTATTACACTGGGAGGGGGAATACGATGTTAGGACTCCCCCACCCCACCCCACCCCAGCCATCCTGGAAAGAATTGTGCCAACTGCTTTCCGAGTTGCCTCAGGAACCTTGGATGACCTCGTAGACAGGGCCGCCTGAACGCATGGGCCTGATGGGCACTTGCCCGTGGGCCCCATACTAATCTGTGCATGTTAACCCTTGGAAAATTGGAAAACTTCCAAAATTACCAGTAGTTGCAGTTGTCATAGGGGCCCCAGTGCACTGCTTTGCCCGGGGCCCATAATGCTGTTAAGTCGGCCCTGCTTGTAGAGGTTGAAAACAGGAGAGGGGGCACGGGGTCCAGATATGAGAATCCCTTGGCTTCACTGTCAGCCATCCCAACCCAAAGACCTATCTGGGTAGCAGTTATTCCTGTTTTCTCTTTTGGAGGAAGGAGATGGAGGATTGGGGAGTAGAGGCCACCTCTGTCCAACTGTTGTCCTGCAGCAACAGCCCTGTTGGGTAGAGGCTTTTGGGAAACTCTGAGGATCTTGTCTGACGGGCAGCAGCCCCATAGGATCGCTCCCTAACTTAGCAGGTGCCCCCCCCCCCAAAATACTGAAGTGTTGCTGTTGTTACATTGCATTTATATCCCACCTTGTGAGAAACTCGAGGTGACTTACAGGAATATAATTTGGCTCTACCAGAAGCATTCTGCAAGGTGCCTGAAGCAGAAGCTTATTATGCATGCTATTGTTATTGCAGAATTCCCTATGCAGTTTGGGCTGAATCGCCTTTTTCCTTTTACTAGACTGTTGGCACTGTCAAACTACAGCATCTCTTAAAGCATGTGCTCGGAGCCTTTTCATCATTGCTGAGCCTTTCAGATTGTACTTACGGTGGGAGCAGGGCTTGGTTCTCTAGCCCATGTACCCCGCCACTTTTAGTAGGAGGAAAAGCTAAGAGGTGCCTAAAAAGATCCCGTGTTAGAACTTGGCATCAGGGAAATCAGCAGTCAAATGAACTTCACTTCTCTGTAGGGTTGGTAAGTTTTGCCACTTGTGAGAGAGGAAACAGAGGAGTGGAGATGAGCATATGCAGCCTAAAACAGCACCCTCTGTCTCATTACTCTGCTAGAAGAGCCCCAATGGACACTGTATAAAGAGTTTCTTAGTCCAAACACAAGCATTGATGCTGAAGGAAGGAGTATTTATTTGCCTACAATTCCTTGCAGGTAGATATTTTACTGTCATATCACTGAAAACAGTTGCAGAATCATGTGCACACGTTTTCTGACCATGCTCTGATGAGTGAGGTCCATGCAAAAGGTGTAATGTTGAACAAATTCTGCTCTCATTTTCTTTTCACCGGACCAGAGTTTGTAAAATAGACTGTGCCATGGCCTCTGCCGCACAACTCAATTTCTTTTTTGCCTCTTGGGGAACAACCGAGCATTAGAGCTGCTTGTAGATCCATTTGCTTGTCTTCGTATTGGTTTTTGCATGATCAGTGTCACTTAACAGCATTGCTTGGAAAGTTGCTTCTATGTGTATGGGAGACTAAGACATGATCGAAATAATATTGAATTTGATTCTTTTCCCCATTAGCGCTTTATCCAGTACTTGGCATCTCGAAATACATTGTTTAATCTCAACAACTATCTGGATAAAAGTGCCATGCAGGGTAAGGATTTTTTTCTTCTTCTAAGGTGGAAGTTGCAGTCTATATATTGTTATGGTCAGAAGGAATGTCCAGAACTCAAGCATACTAAATGAGTCTGTTAAGCTGCTCCATGTTGTATTTAGCTTGCAATACCCTTGGGGCCCTCCAAATGTTTGGCCCAGGATTTACATCAGCCTGGCCAGCATTGCCAGTGCTGTGGGGAGATGGGGGTTGTAGGCCAAAACCTCTGGAAAGCCACATTGCTCACACCTGTGCAAAGGAAAAAAAAAAAAAGAATACTTTCAAAAGTGCACTGTACTATCATTTATCAAATCTGGTAGGTTTACAACTTTATCCAACATACGTATGTTTGGATGTACAGCCTCTGAATTAATTTGTGCTTATGCTAAAGGTGTACCTTTAGAATGGTATTGAGAATATGACCTGAGCATTGCAAAAAGATGGGGAGATTTTAATTCATTAATTGAAATGACATTTCTAATTTTGAAATTTATGTTTCCTGAACAAGCATGGATTTTGATTAAATTCTACAGTGATTATTTATTTATTTGTAGGAAATTTTATTAAGATTTTAAAACTAATACTACAAACATCAGTTGTCGTACACACCGGATTTACTGGGTCAGCCCCCTACTACATATCTTTTAACATTCTATGGTCATACTAAAATCCATTTATAATAACCTGAAAACATCTTTAGATCAGAACCAAGTCCCGTTTGTCCAGCCAAAAAAAAAAAAAAGTAATTCCAGATTTGATAGAAGTCACTATCTTCCTCTTCTTCATCAGTGAAATCAGTCTCATCATTTCTCGCAAAATCCTGTTTCTCTTGACCAATGTCAAAGGGAAGCATCTCCAAGTTAAATAAGATTGCAATATCTTCTTTCTTCTTCAGTGATAAGTTTGATCTAAACATTTCTGGACAATTCAAGATCTTTTCAATTTTCTAATAATAAATAACTGCCTCACTCCCACTACAGTGATTATATTTGTTGTAGAACCCCTGTTAGGTTCTGTGTACTTTTAGTATTAATGCTGTATTATTTTATAATATTGCAAACCATCCTGTGATCAGATGTGGTAGAAAAAAGATAGAAGCACCAGAAGTATTAAACACCTAATTGATTTTTTAAAAAACCATTTCCAGGCTATGATATGTCTACCTTCATCAGACGATACAGCAGATACTTGAATGAAAAAGCACTTTCCTATAGACTTGTAGCAGTTGATTTCACCAAAATGAAAAGAGGGTAAGAATTCCTCATGTGTTCCCACAGTTCTGCTTCAACAGTTCTGCTTCTGCTTCAAATAATGTTTGACTGAACCAAATTAGCAGAATAGAATTCAATGGAATTTAGTTTAAGGAAATTTGCAGCAAGAAAGGGAAAGAAATCTACATTTGAATGAAAAAAATGAAGTATCTTTTTCTGTTAATTTGGAATCCGATGCTATATGTGGTTGGCATCATCACAGAAGTTAAATTGTTTTAGGGAATTAAACTACTCCTTAATGGAATTCAATAAACTAACACACAGATTTGAAAAATGCATATTGCGTATTGATTGCTCTCACTTTGAATTTGGTGGGCATACCCTTACAGATGTTCAGAGGACCATGGTGTTTCTTTGCTGTAATCCTAGGGCACCCAGCATTCAGCTCTAACAGCCTCCCAGTGTGGTCCCACCACTCTCTGAAATTCAGGGAACCCCTTTTCAAATATGTGAATTACACTAAATCTTTCCAAAAGATAAGCAATTGACTGCCTGAATTGCAGTTCAGCCTCTCAGTATTACTCTTGCTAAACAGTCTTGAAGCCATTTTGGTTTTATTTTTACATGTTTTAATCCCTACCTGTTTTTTTGTTTTTGTTTTTTGGGGGGTTTTTTGCACCCATGGGTGCATTCTGTGCATGAAACAGAAAAGCTTCCAGACCTCTGGAAGTTACTTATTCTTGCTGTAATGGATAATGGTAAGATCTGTGATTGTATACATCTGATTTTTCCATTGTGTCTTTGAAGGATTGATGGTGTGATGAGAACGATGAATACTGAGAAGCTTCTGAAAACCCTTCCGATTATCCAGAATCAACTTGATGCACTTCTTGATTTTGATGTAAGTTGTGGAATTGCTTTCTGTTGCTAAAATCCACCAATTGGTTTATGGAGGGGAAAGAAATATGTTGTGATTCACTCCCTGTTGCTTAACTATTAAAAATTGCTCTGCTTTCTACACAGGCAAACCCAAATGAACTAACGAATGGGGTCATAAATGCTGCCTTCATGCTCCTCTTTAAAGATTCCATCAGGCTTTTCGCGGCCTATAATGAGGGGATTATTAACTTGCTAGGTATGTGAAACAATAAATGAAAATCGGTTGAACGTTTACTTAGCTGAGACACGTGTAAATAAGTGGATGTAGTTTTGTGTGGAATATCTTTTGTGTCCGTTCCCCCTTCACTTCCTGCTCTATCTTATTTGTTCTTCCCCATCACAATCTCCTGCACCCCCCCTTTCTCTTTTTTTCTCACCCCCCAAACTCTTCACCAGCACTTTCTTAGTTGTTCTTTCCACCAGCAGTACTCAGTTCCTATTGTCTCTAATGTGCCAGAAGTCTTTATAAAAATTATTTTTACACCCTGAGCCAGCTGGATTGTTCAGGAACATTCCAGAGCAATTCAACAGTAACGCCACTGTCCAGGAAAGATACATTTCAATTGACTGAAAGAAAGCACTGCAAAAGCTGCAGTGTCTCTAATGTAGTTCCTTTTGTTGAGGTTACCTTACGTGGTAGAAATAAATTGCTAAGAGCACTTCTTTAAAATTATCCACATGTACTCTGTTTTAGTACTTCTATTACAAGTTCCTAAAATACCACCCCAAGCTAGCTTTGACATAAAAAAACCACACAGATAAATCTTGGAAGCAGTAATGGCAGTAGTAGGTACTTAAGTTCAGAAAATGCTGTATATTTATTTTTTCATACGTTTAGTGGGATTAAAACTTGGGTAGCTCATAGGCCTCTCCAAAGCTCAGAGCAGCAAGGGCTGACTTAGTGATCCATCTGTCATTGTAGCTCCTTGGCAATAAACTAGACAAATATTGGTGGGTTCTTTTCTTGATCGTAGGCTCAGTTGCTGCCAAATAAAGTGTAAAACAGTGGCAGCTTCAAAGCATTGTTAAGCAGTTGAATTAATGGTAATGGAAAATACCTGTTTAAAATTGAATCTACTCTCTATCTGATTCAATTCATTGAGCAATGAATCAATGAAACAAACCCCCTTTGTTTTGAGCAAACAAAACTGCTATGTTTGCTCTATGCTACCCTTGCTAAACTGTCCAGAGAGCTTTGGCTATTGGGCAGTATAGACATGTAATAAATAATACGGGTTTAGAAATAAGCAAAAGCTCTTAGATGCTTTCAGTACTTATGTCTAGATTTATATCCTGCTTTTAGATAATGTCCTAAAGTTTACCTTTGTACAATCAACAGTATGTTAAAGCAAGAATTGGACTAATGTTACCAGCTCTCTGACTTTTATTTCACCACTGCTTGTAATTTGCACCCTGAAACAGCAAAACTGAATTTCTGTAAAAATGTCCACAGACAGAGAGTTTGGCCATCCATTCCCAGTTTGTACTTGCTCAAAGTGACTGGAGAAGTAAATGTATACAGATCTGTCAAAGCAGTATAGAAAGTGGATACAGTTAGTTAACTACTGAAGTGGAAGCTCTCGCTCAGATTTTGAATCTACTAGCACCCTAACACCAAACACATTGTGCTGAAATCTTAGGGACTCACTTCTGCTTCTGTCTTTGAAGGAGCAGCATAAAGCACAGGCTCAGCTAGAAAATCCTGCTGATTGAGGGAAGTTGGCTGTGTTTGGCAGATCGGACCTTTCAAAGGTCATCGAAAGATTGGGCCTTAGCTGCCCTTAGAATGTTAGGTTTGATTCAGAGATCGCCTTTCCACACATAATTGGCTTTGGAGACAGAAAGCCCTTATCTGTGTACAGCATGGGCATATAGCAGATCACTCCCAGTCTGTCCTGTGCAGTTGTTATACAGAACTCAGTATCTTTACTCTCTGTGTATTGTCTCCCTTTTCTCCCTGCACACAATGCTACTCTGCACAATTCCCCTGCAATTGCTGGAGCAGATGACTGCTCTTCACATTTCTTTCTTTACCTTTGAAACAATTGAAAATGCTGGTATGGAAGAAGTAACTAAGTATTTTAGCATCTTGAAAACAGTGGCATCTAATTCATTTACTAGGGGCTGACCACATCAGCTCCTTGAAAATAATGTTATGTTCTGCTTTCTTAAGATCCCAAAGGTTGATTGCATCACACATGGCTAAGCATTAAAAGGCAACACACAGCTTCCAGGTTTATGGATCTCTAGCAAGTTTTTATTGATTTAAGAAGTAGAATGGCTATCAGAAATACATAACTTCGTAACTCTAGCACACAATTTTAAAGTATAAAAATAAACTTCCTTGCAATTATCTTTCCAACACTCCATTAAAAATATTTTATATTGCAGTCTTTTATTTACGAATGTTTTTTTCTTTGAATTTCATGCTTCAGAAAAGTATTTTGATATGAAGAAGAATCAGTGCAAAGAAGGTCTGGATATTTACAAAAAGTTCTTAGCCAGAATGACCAAATTGTCAGAATTCCTCAAAGTGGCAGAGGTAAATAAACCTAGCAGCATCGGCAGTATTTCATTTCGCTCTCTGTACTGGTACAGTAATAAGTGCATATGGTCACAATAGTAACTTTAGAATGTCCTGCAAACATAACTTTTATCTGACCAATGGATGTAAACACTACCTAAACTACGAACATTTAAAGGGATATTTTCTACTCTCTGTTTTAAACAAAGATTTTAAAAAGTATTTACTGAATGTTCCTTATCCAAATAATTTCAAAGTTCAGACAAACCCGTCTTTGGCTATTTATGGTCTCTGAAATGGATTAAGACTTGTTAAGAAATGTCTTGTAGGATCTCCATACAAAATTCAACTTGAAAGTCGCATTTAGAGTTGTACCAGTTCAGAAAGCTCTCCATGTCCTCCCTGATCCCTTAGCTTTTATGTAGACATTCAGATCCACAGTTCTTTCTTTTCATTGCCACTGCATGTAGTAATGTACATTTTTTTCCCTTTTTTGTGAACCCAGCAAGTTGGAATTGATCAGGGTGACATTCCAGATCTTACTCAGGTCAGTGTACATTTCATATTAATTTAACCCAAGTCCTTTGTCCGTTTGTGATTTTTAATAGTTAGTATTCCATTCTATACATTCTGAGAAATCATTCTCTTCCATATATGTCATATATGGAAATACATGTCATTTTTCCTGTGATCTGTTTTGTTTGCATAAATAGTATATTTAATCAAATAACCCTTTAAAAATAGTATTTTATTTTCCCTGGGCTGCTCTAGAGAATACAATTGCTAAAGATGTCTTCCCCTGCCATAACAAGATTTCTCCCCCAGAGCACTTGTCAAGACCGAAGAGATTTCTTTCTTCATTCAAATAATCCTTGTTTCCCCTAATTTAATCTGCCAGGTTGTACAACACCATGCAACTTATTTCAGATGCTCAGCAAGGCTCGTTTCCCAAACATTTCCCTCTCCCGTCCCCTTAAAGGGGGACAACAGGTCGATGGCAGAGCCCAGTTACAGGTTCTGCTGTAATAGTTCAGGCAGCTGGGGATAGAAAGACCTCTGGCTGGGAGGGCCACCATCAATCTGAGTAGACAGCACGGATCCAGAGGGATACAAGGCAGCCTCCTGTGTTGCCATGCCATCAAGGACATTTGCTTTGGGTGCTGGAGAGGGATGGGTGGAAAGGAGAAGCCATGCATGGGTATATCTAAAATGGTTCTTTGGGTTCCGATTTGCTACGAAAACCATCGTTCTGAGATGTTTAGTGATGGTGATACGGGGCCCCGTATGCAAAAGTGCGTTGCAGCCATCATGGTCTGGGGAAGGCCTGTAGCTCACCTGCAGAGCACATGTTCTGCATGGAGTAGGCCTCATGTTAAGCTTTCAGCAATCTGCAGTTGCAGATCTTGTTAAGAGGAAAGCCAGGGAGGATCTGAGACAAGGGGGAGTCACTGCTAGCCAGTGCAGCCAGCACTCGGATGGATAAATAGCTGAGAGAGTGTAAGGTAGCTTTCCTGTGAATTGATGCATCAACTCCACAGACGAAGCAGTCCTTCCCACTAGCCAGTGTCAAGGTCCCATAAATCATGCTTTTGTTTTATTTTATCATTACTTTTATTATAATTATAATGCACTCATAGTAGTGCACATTTGTTTTGCTGGGAAAGCATACAGGAACGTAGTGTCTACAGACCTGTATACTTCCCTGCTAACCCCTTTTTAACCCTTTTTAATCTGACTCGCAAAATGGTGCTTGTCTTTGACATTTGTCGACGGTAACCATTCAGGTAAAATTACTCCCTCAAGATGGTAGCATGGTACAAAGATGAGGGTGCCCTTGGCATCCTTCTTGAGGATCTTGCACTAGCTCCAGCTAAGATCACGTACATGCTTGGTCATATTTGACGTCTCGCCTTTGGACAGCTATCAAGTGTAACCAAAGGGAAAAATCAACTCACCTGTTGCCTCTACAGGACAGTGCCCAGGATGGGTACCTGCTCAAGTTGCCAGTGGGCAGCCTCCTGCACATTGCTCACCTGGGCCACCAAATCCTGTGCTCACACATCTGGAGAAATCTGCAGTGCCACAAGTGCATGCAAAAACATTTTGAAACATTATTTTTTCAAATATTTGTGAAATTAAGAGGGAGGGTTTTTTAGAGGCCTGGTCACCATGGACAGCCTTCCAAGATGCCTGTGCGGTGCTCTGAGGGGACAGTCTGTTGTTGTGAAAAGGGGGTCGTGTCAGCTGGCTTTCACGATATGGAGAAAAAGGTAGAAGGGTGAAAACGCCATGGCAAGCCCGAAACAGCTCCTCTTTGTAGCAAGGAGACAGCTTGGTCCTCTTGCAGTATCTCCTGGGTTCGCAGGGTAAGGACCAGGGGTGGAGAGAGGGAGGCAACAATTCACAGTAAGTCTGATCATCTGTTAGATGCAGATGTTCTCTCGACGACCCAGCCAGCTTGGATTATTGCAGTAATGTGCCATGTGAATGTACCCAGTGTATAAATGTATTTCCCGTTAACTCTTTTTTTTTGTTAAGCTGTGCTTTTCTCCCTTAGTGTAATTGTGTGTGTTAAACATCAAAATCTAGTCTATACCTTCAACTATTCTATCATTTATCTTGTTTTGGTGAATATAAGCCTTTCAATTCTATTCTTTTTCATTTTCTTATCATAAGTACATGCTAGTATTGTTAGGGTATTGGGATTTCTTTTATAGACTTGGTGAGGTTTTGGTAATCTATTGTAGCTGTATCCTGGCTTAAACATATTCCTTAGAAGTTCAGCTTACTTCTTTTTTTCTTGTGTCTTTAGCATTTACTAGTACTTTAAACGGATGAAGTGGGAGGTGTTCATACTGCATACCTTCAACTTCTATAGAAGCCTTCTCTTATTTGAGGGTTAGGGGTTACGGTTTATTTTTATTCATAACATCGTATCTTCAAGGATTCCACATGGGCCTTCTCATTTTATCTTCCCAAGAATCTTGTGAAGTAGGATTTGCTTTCATCCATGAGCAATGGCAGAAAAGCCCAAACCCAGCTCCACTCAACTTAGGCAGAGAATATTTTAGCTGCTTCCCACGTACTGTCAGTAAGAACAAAGGCAAGCATGAAAGTATGTTCCTATTATATGCAGATTTAGGTTTAAGATTTTAGTATTTTTCTTTGGTTGTTCCCCTCTTTCTTGCGCCATTTACTTCGGCTCCTTCGTTCAGAGTCAGTATGAACTTGGTAATTCAGTTGCTTGTCTCAACTTTACCTCTAATGCTTATCAGAGCTTAGAAATCAATGTAGCTGTTTTTCTTTTTGATCAGACTTGGCTTGATTGCTCTGCAGAAGCTTGACAAGCTTTTAGAGCACTCTCACTCCCTAGCCCAAGAACTTAAACTGGCTAGTCAAAGTAGTCAGATATGTTGGAAATTGCTGCCTGTACCATGTTTTGGGTAAACATAATCCACTGCATGTACTGAATGTATGGAAAAGGATTTCCTGTAAAATTAGAGGCCAGCTTATGCAAACCATACGTTATTTTTAAATGAATTTGATGTTCATTTGCTATGCACTTCATATCCTGATATCATTTTTCACTTCCTGCCATAGAAATTAAAGAATGATTTTTTTAACTGAAAAAAGGAAGCAACGTTTAATTGAGGAATGGTTTGTAAAATATTTGCACAGAACATGGAATTGTGTGCTAAATTATACTTTAGACTGAACCTGGATTTTCAGACATTCTGGTCCAGGGAACTCTTGCCATTTGAGGAATCTTTGCATATGTGTCCCAGGACTTCTCTGTATAGCTGAAGATTCTGGGATTTACTTGGAGAGCAGACCAACCACCGTCAGTTCCACCTGAACCCTAAAACACCCCCAAGCCACAGCAGTTCCATTTCTCCTGACTGTCCTCCTAGGAGCATGAGGACGGGTTAGCCTTCCTCCCAGTGAAGCGGGCAGCTGTTGTCGCTTAGGCTACTGGAGTGCCTGGACCACAGCACCACCTAAAGTTGCCCTGCCTGCCTTTCAGGAGGAGGTGGGGTCTGGGGTCTACCATGTTTATGTTGGCCAACAAGGCCATAAAAACAATACTTTCTGCAAGCTAGAGCAGCCCCAAAGCAGTGGACATGCATTCAGGGGGCTTGGTCTGCCACTAATGATTTTCCTCGCTGAGGAGCCCCAGGTTCTTCTGGAAAACTTCCCGAAAGCCGCTCATCTGGAAGATGGTGATAGGAGCGATTAACAAATCCCTATCTAAATTAGGAGGGAGGAAAGGGAGGAGTTGCAGCTCAGTGGTGGGGATGCAGAAGGTCCCAGGCTGAATTGCTGACACGGTCAGTTAAAATGGATTATGGAGCAGGTGATCTGAAAGACCTCTGAGAGCCTGGCTGTTTGTTGACAAGGAGAGGAAGCAATGCTGGATTCGATGGACGAGTAGTGTGACCTGATATAAGGCCGGCATTCTATGTTGCTAGTATGTGTTTGCTTTCTATAGCACGTACAATCATATTTGGCATTTTCCCCTGTGGCTTTTTTACATGGGAGAGGCGACAGCAGCTAAATTGTGGTAGGGAGTAGAACTGAAGCCTTTATTCTTTTCTCTCTGAGCATCCTACTCTGACTTCTTAGGTAGAAATGATCTCTTTGCCCGTCAGAGCAGAATAATATATAAAAAATGGAGGCTTAACAACCAGCATACATTTGATGAGAATTTTAACTTTAGGCTCCCAGCAGTCTGCTTGAAGCACTGGAACAGCATCTGGCTTCTCTGGAAGGGAAGAAGACAAAGGAAGTTTCTGCTGCCAGCAGGTAATTTGAGAGGTTGATCATAACTGGAGTGTTGATTCTTGCCGTATTAGCATGTAGGCTGTTCCCATTTCTTGTATAGGCCTGTGTTTTCTTACTGTCCTGCCTCTCTGCCAAATTTTGTCACTCAAGGCAGTTAGTGACATGGCAGGATTGTTTCTTCATGAACATTACGAACTTTAGCCTGATGCTTTAAACTGTAGCACTGCCTCGTCCACATGGTGAACAGAAATGGTGCTGCTGCTGAAGAGGCTGATGGTTCCAAGCCCCAAAGCAAGGCAGACAAGCTTTATTGGAAGGTGTATTGAATGGCAAATTTAGCCGCAGCCCCAACTTATCAGCCACTTTTCTGTGCCATTAAAGGAAGGAGGAGAAACAGTGGGGAGTGGAAAAGTGGGGTAGGAAAAGGAATGTCCTTCCTAATCTCCCCACACAGATCAAAGAATTGCCCCCTGCATGCCTTAATCATATTTGCATGTCAAGATTATTATTATTATTATTATTTATTATTATTATTAGAACATTTCTATGCTCACGTGCATGTGTGGCCATCTCGATCGTTGTCACACATGCGAAGGCCTTTTGCCGTTTACTCCCGTTATTTGGGGGCACTCTGAAAATCCTCATTTGGGCTGATGCCAAGTGATCCGACAAGCTGGCTATAGTTCCCCCTTGATCTGGGCAAGCTTACGTTCTGTGGCTGGAGCTGTGTCTCCCCACCCAGTCTTAAGCAAGCACCTCGGTGATGCTGGAGGCTTTCTGTAGGTCGAAAGGCACTAAGTGCGTGCGCTAGCGTTGTCCATTTTCCGATGTTTGCAGAGCAAGCACTCTGTCTAGCGCAGTTTCCACCCTTGCCAGCACGGGAATGTCCTTCAGCAAGATGGATGAAAGGGAGAAGCAGCAGGCGCTGGAGGAGGAGCAAGCCCGACTGCAGGCACTGAAGGTATGGCGAGGCTTCTCAGATATGGCAGCGGCTTTTGATCCCGAAAAGTGCTATCATTGCACTTAAGTGTTCCGGTACAAGCGCTGCAGTTTTGCCTTATAATTCCGAGTCTTCAGATTGGACCTTCCTTAGGTGAATTGGAATGTGTGCCTTTGGAATTGCTGAGATGAGTGGCCATATGCTGCTGCCTTAATCTTCATTGATACCTCAGCATTACCTCTCTATCAGTGAATTTTAGAAAGTTTGGATTCACAAGTGCAGCCAAAGTTAACCAGTTCTGGAAGCCACTTATTTCAGTGAGGAAACAGCCAAGCAATTTCCATGTAAATCCGTGGGACTTTAAACTGCCTATCCGTGACTCGGTGTCTCATTTTGGCCTTCAAGTGAAGTCGTGTCTAAGCCGTTCCCGTGTGTTTCAGTGGAAAAGAGCTAAGCAGTGAGGCTTGGTTTGATTGCCCTGTAATGCACCAAAGAATGCGGATGTGGGTTAATTCTGCAAGACGATTAAGTTTCAGTTCCCGTATATTTGCATTGGCTGAATGTAAAGGCGAGCAACACAACGTAAGGGCTAATTTTCTAAGTAAATGTATTGTTGCACAACTGTCTTGTAGGAACAACGATTGAGAGAGATTTCAGTGGTGTCAAATTCTACCCCTACATCTGCCTCTCCGAGCACTTTATCAGGGAAGAGTGTGAATACGAATGCTACTGTTGACCTCTTTGCCGCACTCGCACCAACTACTAATAGGTATGGGGGGCAGGCGGGGGGGCGGGGTACAAAGGACCTATAGCCATTTTCATTTTCCATGTTAAAGCCACTTCTCGGCCTTAGAAAGTACAGTGAACAGTGTTGCACCTTTAAAAGCAACCTAAATATAGCTTTACTTTTTAAAGGAAACAGTAAACGTTATTGTAACATTTGAGTATGCCTTTTAAGACCAAACGGTCAACGGAAGTTTGTCTGCTTTGGTGTTTCACTTTTCAGTGCTCCATTCATGGATTCACAAGTGGAAATTGGGATGGAGAGCAGGTTCTTCTGCTGCATAAACATTATAGTATCTTGTTTGTTGTTTACTGAAAAGAACCTTGACCACAGTACTCACAAACAAAATGCACTGTTTCCAATTCTCTTCCCCATTGCAGTTTGTAATCATCTAATGGAATAATTAGGATTGAGGCTTTACTCCTAAAACATTTGATTTCACTTGCATCTTTTTTAAGCATTATCTTTTTTTTAAATTTTAGAACTGTTCTTCTCTCAACATTTTTTTAAAGAGAAAGATTTATTGAGCTATCACACTTTGTATTATTTGGGCTTACACGAATGCCACACAAACCTATCCAAAATCTAGGTTATTGACCGTTAAAACAGTTTGTTTATTTCTCCCCAGTTCTATTGTTTCAGAGAGGGAGAATGGTGTTAGATAGACTCCATTACTGATCATGCTAAAACCAAGGTGGGGCAGCCAGCAGAGACCGCTTCGCACTTAAAGATCAAATGTATCTGCTTGGACCAGAGGTTATTTGAAAAATCCATAATTTAATATGCAGATGATAGGATGTCAGGATCTATACATAAAAAAGCAAAGTTTGCTGGGCACCTCAGGAACCAGCTTCCTGCAGGAGTTTCTCAGGTCCCTTCTTCACAGTCTTCAGAAAAGCTCTGAAGACTCACTTGTTTTCACTGGCCTTTTTACATTGTTAATGTTTTGTTTGTTTTTAACTTAATTGCTGCTATGGGAAGGTTCTACCCTTAAAGATGGCCTAAAATAATGATATGTAATAAAAATAAATAAGACCAGGAGAATAGATAATAAAACCAGTCATGGAGATGACAATTCAATAAAGCCAGTTCCTTAAAAGGAACAGTAAAATGGAAGACCGAAGTCCTTCATGCAAACAAAGCGACCAAAAGAGATAGATGGCTGCAAAAGAGAGTTCCAAAGCAAGTCTGTAGAAATGTCAACTGTGTAGGAACCGAGCCTGCCAGAGCTTGGAAATGCTCTAAAAAATGATGCATTTTCCATCTTGATGGGGGCTCTTACTTGTATTTAAATACTTGCAGTAAATTAAGCCTGTCCTAGAGAACTTACCAAATTAAATGTGTTGTGAAGTCAAAGTTGCAGATTCATTTTCTGATGTCCCTACTTGTATATCCGGATAGTTTTGAAAGTGTTTGAGCCCCGAGTTTGAGCTTCAGCATCTTCAGATATGCGTAAGCGTATATTGGACCACATCTCGCTTAAGTATGGCATTTCTCTGAGTGACATTCTTCTTCTTGTAACTTTCAGCATGCCCAACCTTTCTACAGATCTCTTTGATCTGCAGCCTGCATTTGTTCCAACAGTACAGAGCACTCCAGCCATAGCAACGTCAGCGAGTGGCGCCTGGGGAGGTAAGTTAACCGTTGTTGCTAACTAGAACTTTTACCATTCTTGGAATTCTGTGAGCCAATTATTTATTCAAATTAAAGCCATGCCTAAGGGGATGCTCAGCTAATCAGTTGTCATGAAATCCAGATACCATGTGCCTTGATTAACAGCCATGGCATAGAAAACATAAGAAAATAAACATGGCAGAGAAAAAAATCATAGCAAATATTACTGCTCTCCAAATTGGTTTATTCCCATTACAAGGAATATTCATTCATTCATTCATTCATTCATTCATTGAAAGACACTCGTAGGCTGCTCTATAGCCCACAACTGACTGTGAGTAGGATAATATTAATGTGGCATTTTTCAGATGCAAATAATTTGGCATTGTTTGGCATTATTTTTTACTTGTTGTTTTCTAAACCCTTGTAACCACAAATTGTGACTATGGACTGTCTTCTCTTGAATACAACTTGTCTTCTCTTTTTTCTTCTTTCTTACCACTGAATGCTGTTTTGAAAGGGCCTTTCTCATCAACAAATGGTTGTGTTGGATCTCCACCCCACCTCGACCTCTTTGATATGAAGCCTGTAGAAGAAGCAGTAAAAAGTACCACCCCTTTTATGACATCCACCTTTGCATCCAAACAAACAGTGGAACTTTTTAGTGGTAAAACATCCTCTAATTCCTTTCCTCATAGACTCTAGCAATAATTCAGTATCTAATTTTATTGATACTTGCTTCCTGTCTTTAGTTTCCAGTCCAAACTGCATTGCAACTCTTAATTAAACAGTTGGCTGTGGCCATCTTTAATTTAGAATGAAAGTGACAAACTGTGTTTGATGTCAGGTTGTGATTGCCCTTTAAAAAAAGGAAAATGCTGGGTTGCATACAACTGGCTAATGATCCATATTTCCATGGTGCAAACCTCTGCAAACCTAGTCTTTACTGTCTTTCTTTCTGTGCAGATGATTTTGCTGGTCATGGAGTACCATATCCTTCCATGTATTCCAGACAATTGTTTAACTTCTTTGCTTGCAGAACTGTTTAATTGGGGCAATCCTAATGCTTCTGTAAACATTTGTAGGCTATCCTCTTCATTCAACATCACAGAAAACTGCCCCCTCCACAATCAATGTGGATTTTGATGCAGTATTTGGTGAAAAATCCTCGGTGCCTGAGTTTAGAACTGCAACAGGTAACGTGCATAAAATGTCCAGTTTCTGTGTCCTTCTAAAGTCAGTATCTAGTGGTTTATATCAGTGGACCCAATACCTGCCTTCTTAGAAGAGGCTTTTTAATGTAAAGTCTTCATATTAAAAGAAATTGCCTTGTTGGATGAGGAACACCCATTTTGCTGAGACAGATGCTTACCTGGAGGGTATAAAACAGGGGTGCGGGTCATCCTCAGAGAAGCTCTTGGGGACCTCATTCTAGTGATGGCCAAGGACAAAGGGGATAGAGCCAAATACCACTGTATTGCAGCTTAAAGCTCATCTTCTCAGAAGCTGGACTGCAGGAGAGACCTAGTATAAATGCAGCCATTCCGCTGTATTTGATGCTCGCTTGGGCTGGGAGCAAAGCAGCTAAATACCAACTCTAATGCTTGGGTTCATCCAAAACTTGCATCTCTAGGACTCTCACCACAGACTCTTTTAGTAATGGGACTGGATCAGGCAATAGCAATTACCAAACAGAGAGTGTTAGATACTGAGCGGTAATGTGATTTCAGGAGAGTACCAGTTTGCACTTCTAAACCAAGACTTCATATTCTGGATTGTTTGGAAGTTGGTAATAACAGTTTCCTGGTTTAGGTGTCACGGGGGATGATCATTAGTTGCAAAGGAAGGATTGAAGCTGCCGATGGCAAAGGCTGATTCGTGTCTTAATTAGCCAAGATTGTCAACACGCAGCCAGAATGTGTTGAATTCCCTTTAAAAAGGAAAATGTCCTACAGTTTTTCAAACAAATTTGTGCATGAGAAAGCTCCGTGACTTCTGAAATGTTTTTATGGCTCATCATTCTCCAGCCCAGATCATGTTTTAGACTCTGATTTGTGGTGTTTTCAAGTTTAAAGAACTTAGGTTCATCACTGGCTGTGCAGCACAGTTCCTGCTTGTATCCTGGAAGAGCAAAAATAGAATTTTGTACAATGTGTACTTAAGCTGATTTTTTGTGTGCAATAAGTATATTTGTCAGCCAGGACTGTTGTATGTCGTCTTGAGACTGGCTTTAGATCTGCTGGTTTGCAAATGGCCGTTTCTAATCCCATGAGAAATGGAAACATGATAGGGCCATCTGTTAGCATGTGCTCATGTTGCACGAACTAGATTTCAGAGTACAGATGTTTAGAGGCAGTTTTTCAGCTTGTTCCCTAGATAGCTCTTCGTGCTTCACAAATTGCAGCTGTGATCTTTTCCTTCTGTGTGTGGAGGACAGAGGCCCAGGACTCCGGTCTTCTGGGGGATGGAAAGCTGTGCAGTGAGGAGCAAGTGGATAAGGCAGCCTGGTGAATTCCCCCCTATCACTTTGCCCTGACCCACCGTTTTCCTCCTCTGAACACATGTTACAATTTGGGCTCATGCACAGAACAACTACCAGCAAGAGCACCACATGCCCAGCCGCTGGGGATGAGATATTTATGGGGATCACGAGAGGACCATAGGCTGCATAAGTCCGTCTCTTTTCTGCTTCCTAGTCTCACCTCTCATTCTCTGCCTTCATATGCAATTTGTGTGTCAAATGGCTTTATTCACTGTGACTGGGTGTGTGTGACACCACAGCCCTTCCTGATACCTAGCTGTTCTGTCATAGCATGAACATATTGACACACATTTCTCACACCCAAACATTTTAGAAAGGTGGAAAGCCAGTAGTGGCTGCTCCATTGCAAAAGGCTTTGAAAGAAAACCAAAAAGGGGGAAAGTGATGGCAAGTGCTGTGTTTGCAGTGGATAGGAGACACACTAGATTCAGCCACCAGTTCTCCTAGGACCAAGGAAGACGGTGGCAGGGGCAGCCCATGGCAATGACCCATCTGTTGGACACACTATGATTTGTTCCAGGAACAAGCCACAGTGTGTAGGTCATTCACAGGGTGGATTGTGTGAAACTCACCTTGTAAAATGTGTTGGCATTTTTAAACTGATGCCTAACTTTAATTTCATGTTTTGGGATACTCTTAAGTATCTTACAGTGTATTTGATGGTGGCCTGCAATTATTTATCCTTCCCAAGAACAAATACCTAACTCTAGGCCCAGTTAAGCTGATACACATTGTGATTGTATCTCTCTTTTATCTTTTGGGTATTGTTTTTCAACATGGCCTCCTGGATCATGAATTTCAACGGGTAAGTTAAATGAAAAAATTACTTGCACATTTAAGGCTGCACACTTACCTGGACATCAGTCCACCTGAACAGTGTGGGACACGTAAACATGAATAAACTTGCAAAGGATTGTACTGTACAGAATTGAAATCGTGGGTTATGTAAATCCTGGTAATTCTTGCTTTGGCAAAACAAACTACATGTAATTCTTGCAAACCTAATTTCAAAAGAATAGAAGTGGAAGTTCTGTTTTATGCTGGCTAATATATTTTGAAAACAGTCAGGGAAGGGATCCTCTTTGTTTGTTTGTTCTTGCAAAGTGGAGCATATTTATTTTACTTTTAAATATGAAGATCCATTGACACGTGGTTGCGGTGTAGGGAAGATGGCTGCGGTCGTGTTCATCGCCCAGTGCGAAATTCGCGATTGGAAGCAAAATTTCGCCAAACTTTCTGTTCGTGAACTGACTTGTTCATGAACAGAAGCATTCGTGAACCAAGATATTACTGTATATTCCTGAACTCTCAGGAATGTCCGGACTTAAAGCAGAGTCTGCTCTTTTCCTGTTTTGAACATTTCTTGGTGTGGGGGCAGGAGCATGGAGCAGAAGTCCACTCCTAGAAGAGTCTATATTTGTGTGTGGTTTTTTGTTTTCTGATTTGCAATCTCCAAGGAAGAGCAACTGCCAGCAGTCATGTGCAAAGGGGAAGCTGAGGTTTTTGTGTTAAAGATGTTGTATGTGCTCATTGTAAAGATAACCCTTCAAAATTCCTCTCTGAATCTTTGAAATGGAAATCTTGCATTCCTGCAGCTCACTTCAATTTTCCCCAAAAGCTATTGGAACAGAAATAATGGGGGTGGTTAAGCTTGTTTTTAATTGTAGGTACACAGAACACATTTAAATTGTAGCTGCACAGAACACGTTCAAAAGGCTGATAATAGCTAGCTTCCAGTTGCTTATAATAGCTGGTGAGTTCAACTTCACTGAAAGGCTCATGTAGGCATTTGAGTGAATATCTCAGTGTAGATGCAGATGTATACACACAAAAGGAACACACAGCTGATCTCTCTCTCTCTCTCTCTCTCTCTCTCTCTCTCTCTCTCTCTCTCGTGTGTATGTATGTGTGTGTGAAGAGTAAGGGATTTCTGGAGGGGATTACTTTTTTCTGTGGTCTGTCTTTTCTCAGTTCTTTAATCAGGTCTTCAATTTTTTTTATTATTGAACTTGTATTTAGGTGTGTGTGTCTCCAATATAAAAAGTTTATATTTTTATAACGCATTTTAAGGTTTTAATATCCACAAACCTTCCAAAGAGTGCCAGCTGTTTGGCAGTATAGAAACGTAATGAATGAATGATGACTCTTAGTTGAAATTATAGTTGAGGATTAATGAATATTCTTCATGCTTTCTGTTTTCCCTTTCTACCCAGTCTTTAACTGTGCAGATGAGGTATTACAGCCAACGGTACCAACACAAAATCAAAGAGGAGTTATAACTGGGCAGCAGAGTGGGAAGATTTTGGCTGGTGACCTTGATTCTTCACTCGCCAATCTAGTAGGAAGTATGTGCAATGCCTGCATATCAAAATATATAAATATATATTTCTTTTATAAAAGAATCCACATTCTCTTTTAAATGCTTCCAATGTGTTTTGTTACAGATCTTGGCTTTGGAGGAACACCGACCAAAAAGTGAGATGTCTCCCTGAATATATGTTTCAGCTGATTTCATTAATAGCATTATCATTTAAATATCGAAGATGAAAGGTTTACATGATGTTTGCTGCTCTTTAAATCTCTTTTGATTATGAAAAAATTCATGTGTTACTAGTGGAATGCCAAACATTTAAAAGTTAACAAACATTTTCTATGTTAGCAATAATAACCAACATATAGTAGACGCTCCAATGTAAAAGATGTTTAAAATAGAATTTATTGAATACAGAATGCAGTCTGGGTTTAAAAATGAATGAGATAAGGCTACCTTGTCAGTGCTTTGGCAATGAGCGCCTTTGTAGGGCTGCTTCACGCATGGAGTGGAGGGGGGCGCCAGAAAGGCAGCTCAGTTGCCTTTCCTTTGGCTGTTTCTGATACATGTGAATTATAACTAACATCAGCTGAGCTGTAGTCATCATGCCAGTGTAACATATGAATTTGCAAGACACTTAGTTCCCCCGCTTGCCAGGATTATTTATAGTGGTGCTTTTTGCCAAAGTAAACACTTCCTGGAATACCTGGGGCATTAATTAAGGGTGCAGTTTGTGAATTATATAAAGTGTTAGTAAGTGGTATGTATGGGTCTTTTTTTGGGGGGGGGGATCAAGGGGCATGAAATGTAATAAAAGTAGAAAGTTGAAGAAATGAATAGCTGGCAGAACAGCTTTTCATGCTTTTAGTTGTTTCCTGAAGGTACGTATCCATGTATTGTGCAATTCACTTTCAGATCTGATATGCAGTGGAATCAGCCTACCGAGAAGAAACTTACCGGTGGAACCAACTGGCAAGCAAAAACTAGCTCCTCCACTACGTGGAACACAGTCCCCATCCCTCCTGCTCCACAGATGGTAATGTCTTCTATATTAAAAGATTCAGATTGTTATGTTTGTTCCGCTTAAAGCCTGGCTTTTATAACCTTCGAAGCATTCTTGTAAATATTCCACTTTTTGAAAAGAATGTTGGCATGGAACTGTAGAATATCAGGGAGAAGATATGAGCACTGAATGAACTGGAGGATACTTTATATCTTATATAAATAGTAGTCAGCTGTTGAGTGCCAGGAAAGCTACTTCGTATTTGCTTGATTGTTTCAGTGGCATTTGGTGGATGAACTATTATTTTATTTATAGCCTGCCTTTTTTCCTTTCAAGGAACTTAAGGCCGCTTACGTAATTCTCCTCCTCCTCTCAATCGTATCCTCACAACAACAACCCTGTGAGGTAGGCTGGGCTGGAGTTTGCGATTGGCCCGAAGTCACCCAGTTGGCTCCATGGCTGGGTAGGGGACTGGAACCCAGATCTCCCAAGCCCCAGTCTGGCATTATTTGCTGTAGTGTGTGCCAAGTGTGTATTTCTGCCATCAGAGGTTGATTTGTGATGGCTGAACCTGAGCACTATGGCTTAATCATGGGCGAACATCTAATTGTAATCCATTCTGAGAGCATCAGCTAATTGAACAGTATAGAAATGCAATGAATGAATGTACAGTACCTTGCAGAGGTATTTACCATTGCAGGACGAAAGCTTGTGCAAGACATTGTAGGTTAATTCCAGGTTGTTTAACCCATGATTAACCCACAGTGTTCAGGCTGACACAGCATGGGGATTTGCTGCCATTATGTGCAATCCGGGTCCATATTTTCGTATTGGGTTGAAGAAATAAGTGGGCTTCAGGCTTCCTTGCCTCTGTGCTCTGGTCTATTTACCGCCATTGCAGTTCGCAGTGTGCTTAATGCAATGGGAATGTGTGAGGGCATGAGAGCAGGAGAAGAATTTCTGTGAACTGAGTCATGTTGTAGCCTCCTTTTCTTGGCCCAGGGAAGCCACAAAGAATGGCATCCGGGCAAGTAGGTAGGCTATCAAAGGGAGGATGGGCAGAATGCTCAGTCCCTCTTCCACTCTGCCCTTCGTATGAATAAAGCACAGACTAGTAACTCCTGTAAGATTATTTTAAAGACTGCCAGTGTTTCTACTAAGGTCATGGGTTCATATAATACCTTTGGGAGTAAAAGGGATTGAGAGGAAATGACCTTATAAACCTCAGTGCATGTGCCTCTCTGGACCGCAGCCTAAACAGCCATCTGTTGTTTCTTGGATTGATTTTTTATAGGATCCTGACATGGAAACACTGCAAAACAACATGCCTTGAGGGCTACTTCATGCCTTTCTGTGTCGGTGCTTTAACATTTGGCACTGTATTGCTGTTAAGAGTATAAAGAGCAAACTTTTCCCAGTGGCCTCAGAGTGGGCTTGATCATAACTCACATTCATGGAAAACATTCTTTTTAGCAAAGCTCTGCTCCTTCCTTGCATGTGGAGAGCAGTCAAAGAATGCAACTGCTCTTGTGGCTTAATTAAACAAAATTGCTTTAGTTTTCCAGTAAAATAAAATATGATGGGCGAAAAAAAGGATAGTTGATCACATTTCATTTTATTGATATGCCACCTTTCCATAAAATCTGCCCAAGCAGATCGCAATGCAAGCAATAGAAACACAAGAATGCATAACAGTGCATCAGTTACAATAGGACCTTGTTATAAGAATGAACAACTCAAAGACCTAATCTTACTGCTATTAGTATGATAGAACTTACATTAATTTCAAAGTAAGAAATATCAACACTTACAGCAGAATAACAATGATTCCTTATTGTAAAGTGCTGATCCTATCTTAAATCAAACACACCTTTCAAATGAGACACACATAACCCTGAGGCATTAGCAAACAATACAACCTGCAAACAGCTACCCCAAAATACTACTACAGGAGGTAGCAAACAGGTTCCTTACAGCCTGCAGAAACTGATCACTCCTATGTTCCACTTCTTATTCTGGAGCAGTTCTGAGGACTCTAGCAGAGAAGGGCAGTGGCTTTTAACTTCTTCCACTGTGCTCTGTAAGTTTCTGCAGCTTCTGGAAGGCCCGTGTTGGATACAAATATATACTCAGCAACTCTGGGAGGAAAAAATGGTTTCCAGTTTCCTGATGCAGAATTCCCTATGCCCCACAGTTCTCAGGGGCAATTCTCAGGGCCCCAGTGGAAAGAAGGGTGGTGGGGTTTAGTCTTTTCCCTGTGCTCCAGATGTTTCTACTACTCCAGACTAGCTTGCCTTGTTCTGCCCTAAAGACGTTCTACTTTTAGTATCCCGCTACTCCCAATAATTTTCTGTCCTTGCTCCTTTTTGCTCTGCCAGAATGGAGTACCCTATCCTGGATATGTAAGTTCTTCTTTCCTATGAGCTTGGCATCTATTTTAAGTAATCTAAAAAAGTGCATTTTATATCATTTTTTGAATGCTGTCTGTGGAAGTTGGAGCCACCTGTAACATTCACCACCTGTTCTTGTTTTTGTTCCTTTTCGCCATCGAAGGTACCTGCTCCAGTAACCTACCCAGTGAATACACCTCAAGTGCCTGTGTATGGAATGGTAAGACCATTGGCTGTCCAAATCTGTATATTACGGTACAGAAATAATCTTCTAAACATTTCATGTCACTGCATTTGCAGAAGCCAGAAAACTCAAGAAAGGCCAACTCATGGATTGTCCTGGTGCACTGGCTATTATAGTGTAGTCTGAAATGCCTTCAGTTTAGTTAAGCAAATGAAAGGAAAATGTAAAAAAGCAAGCTCTCAAAGGAAACCAAAGTGCAGCCTGGGCACCCGGGGAGGGCTGGCCATAGCAGGTTGCAGGGCAAGCTTGGCAAAAGCAGCACGGGGCTTTTTGCCTCTCTGGGCAAGCGAGTCATTGGCCAGTTCCTCTGTAAGCTAAGGTTGACCACCATGACAAGAAGCCCTAAAGCAACTCGCCCATTGGCTGTCAGGGTGGCTTGTTGCCCTCAGACAAGCCACCTTTGGGAAAATCCATCTGGGTTTGCATGGCATGACATCGTGGGTAATCCTCACCCACAGCCTCTGGAGTATAAGCAGTTTATTGTGGGGAAGCTGCTGAAAGGGAAGAACTCCACTGTACGAACTTCTCGCCACGCACGTGACTGGAGGAGGTCGTCCTTTGCCAGTTGGGGGGCAGCTGCTGGCCTTATGCTTCCCTCTTTCCCCCATGCAGGTACCCACTCCGATTGGAGCTGCACCTATTATGGCACCCCAGCCTATGATTTATACCCAAACAGGTCTAAGGCCAACAAATCCCTTTGCACCTATCTCTGGAACACAGGTTGGTGTTTGCTTCAAGTGAACATGGAACATTTTAAACGTCTGCATCCTGGTGTCTTGTCACAAGCTCCACTTGCTTGCTACTTACGTTATCGCCTGATGCTTTCTGTGTATTCAGATGTTTAAAAAACAGTTTATCCCATTCACATTAGTTGTATCATCGTTGTTGCTATGTGTGTCGGAAAGGATATATCACAGTGGTGTGTTGGAAAGGATACAGGTATATTTTCTAAAGTCTTGTAAAAGACCGAAAGTTAGACATGCAAGCAAGAATACAAAGGGTTACAGATAAAGCTTGGTCAGCCGTATTCAGAGTTACATTGGTAAGAGAGAGAGTTTACTTTTTTCTACATTACTGATGCCAGCATATATCTTGGTTTGATGTACGTGCATCAGGGTTCAGTTGCTGTTGAATAGCACTGGGCGCAGGACTGAACCCTGTCACACCCCACGTGTTCCCTCTCCCCGTTTGAGAAGGTGCCATTGATGAGCACCCTTTGAGTCTGATTTTGAAGCCAACGGTGGATCCACGTAACAGTTGTTCCGTCTAGCCCACTTTTTGGTAGTTTGCTAATCAGAATGTTATGGGCAAGTTCGTAATATAACAAAGAAAACTCTCCTTGCAAGATCTTACGAGTAGAAGCTCTTTAGTACCTCTAAAGAGAGGTATGAATATGGAGTAGGCCAAGGAAATGGTAAGAAGAGGGTGAATGGAAGCAAATACAGTAAAGAATGCCTGAGCAGTAGTATTATGGTTGTGAATTAGGGCCAGAAGACTTCCTTGGTGAAAGGTTTCCTTGGTTTTGGGAGGCTGGGGACTCCATGTCCGGGCAAGAATGGGAACCAAAGCTTGAGAGCAGGAGATGGCTTGAGCAGTTAGGGGCTGAAGACTTGCTGGGGGTTTTATAGGGGTAGAGCAACACTGAATAGAGGGTGGAAGGACAAATCTGGGGAGTAAAACTGGGTGTTGTTTGCACAGGGGTGGCACCAAAGCCATTTGCCTTGTGATCACAAAGGGATGGTACAGTAGCTTGAGCACAGGAGAAGATAGTAAAGAAAACCTAGAGAAACCCTGACATAGTGGAGAAGACTGAACAGGACTCTTCTACGCCTCTCCAAGGAGAAAAATCACCTGATAGGTACAGAAATACTGAAAAGATTGGCATGGAAAGTGGTCAAGAGTAAGATGGTAAACAGTATTAAACAGCAGGTATGACAAAGGCCACAGACACGTTTTGGCTAGTTGGCTGACTGACTTGAGTGAGGGCAATATTGCTGGAATACAGATGACAGAACTGAGATGGGAGAGTTGAGACGGGAGCTTGAAGAAAGAAAATGGATCAGAGCAGAAATGGACAGTGTCAAACTCCATGAGTTTGGAAGCAAAAAGATAGAGGCAGTATGGTAAGTAGACAGGTAGGATGGGATACAGGAGCTTAGGAAAAACAGAATGGGGATCATGCATGATGTATTTGTGCTGGGAAGGAGCCGAAGAAAAGGGCCGGGCAAGGGCCGGGCAGTTGATAGACTGTGGCTCAGGAATGATGACTCGGGAGTTGAGTGAGCATCTGGAGGAATTGGGATAAATATGGAAGACTAGAGTACATGTGGGAAACTTGTGGGCACCACATCTCTGAACTATATATTCGTGTGTGTATACAACTCTCATCCTATCCCTGGGCTAAAGGAAGACATCAATTCATGAAGTATATGCATTAAATAGAACCTGTCCTACAGGCCACCTTCTCAGAACTTGACACGAAATGCTTCTGTGCCATCTGAGTTTATTCTTTTCAGTAGAAATAAACAAAGATTGTTAAAGATCTCCTTTTTCTATAACTAAAAGAGTCGCTTGGGGGTCCTCAACCAGTGGGTGTCTCACTGTGCTTAGAACTGTTGCTAGCAGGAAACAAGCCAGCTGCTATTTTTTCCACTGCACAGCAGCTTCTGATTTTTGCCTTGTGGTTGAAAACAGGAAAAACTAGGTTGCCCAACAGGAGATGCACTTGTGCATTTTATTGGGGTTTGTCAGGTAGTGGATTTTAAAAATCTCGATTAATGTTTTGGTGTTAAGACTTGATAGCTTGTAGTTCAAAGTACGCTAAGAAGCTTAAGTACTTTGCTCACTCTGCCAGTCAGAAAATTGGAAGAAGTATAAGCAGAATTTTGGAGTAGATAGACCTTATTTGATATATTTAATGGCTTTAATTCTACCTGCTTTCTTTTGTTACAGATACAGTTTATGTAGAACTGCCAAAGCAGCAAGACACTTTGACAACCAAATATTGGTAGAAAGAAGACAGAACTTTTAAACGGCAGTCTTCACCCAGGGCACATATCTGCTCCCCGTACATTATAAATTACTTTGAATTGCTGTGCTTTAAAGATTCTTGTTATAGCAGTCAGTATGTTATGAAATCAAGTTTGGCTTTGGATAGTGTAAGACTGTTTTCAGTGCAAAGCTGAAGTATTTTGAAGATGAAAGTCAGCAAAATATGAAAAGAAATCCCTGACTTTCTCTTGTTAAAGAAGAATCCTTTGCAGCATTTCCATCCTACAGCTAGCCTCTAGTAAACTAGTGGAGGGCATAAGACTTCTATTTATTTCTCTCTGAACTCTGCGGCTGATGTAATTATGGCACTACTTAATGAAGTTGAGCAATAAACTTTTCAGGTTCTCTTAAGGGGTACCTGATACGAAAAGTACTCTGATAAGAATAAGACGTTATCATAGATGCCAATACCGCGTGAAACCCGATCACTTTTTCTCGCGTTAACCTAGCTTCTTCTAATTCACAAATTTTGTACTGTGAGTTTTAAATGCTGTGAATCAACTTTAATTCAGTGTAGGCCATTAACAAAGAACCAGTCTGTTGGCATCGCAGCGCAGTGTTGCACAGCCAAGCGATAGAAGCATTTTTTGGCAGAGACTTGGTGTCTGGCGCTAGTCTGAGGAAGCCGGTCTGTTGCAGAGGAGTCCGTGCAGTTCCGGTGTTGATGAGGAGGGCCACGCTCCCTCGTGCTTTCTCTTGTGTACAGATGGCAGCGTTGTTTCTGACTCTAGCTAGGGTTGCCTTCAAGTCCGAGAAGATGTCCATGGGCGGCCAGGCCAGCAGGAGTGAGTCTGGGAAGCTTTTTGCCCTTTATGTAAGATGCGGGGCATTTTCTTAGTTGTTCATCAGTGACAGAGCTGCACTTTAAGAACTGGAAAATTGTATTCCTGAACTCCTCCATCCTTGTGGCCCTTGTCACAAGGAAAGGGGCAAAAGGAAAGGAGAAAAAAAAAACCCAGTCACTACATAAAGAAACTTTTTTGTGGGGTGGGGGGTGGGAAGACTGTAAATATTTGTAAACCTTTAAGTACAAAATTTCTCCAATGCTGCAGAACCTTTTTTTCCCTTCCTTTGTAACACATTCAAAATGCAAATATTGTACTGCTTTAAGAAATTTAATGCAAATTTCTTTTTGTATGGAAAGAGACAATTAATCTTGAAGATTCATAACATATTATTGCACTGTGGAGAGAGCATAAGAAGTGTAATAATACAGCCTGATGGTCCAAGACTTTCAAACCCCTCAGTAATAAGATGACATTAAAAATTACTGTGTAATTTGACACATGGAGTTCCTGGCTTATTTATGAGGGGAATCTGTAAGAACATTTTTTTGTTACTTCTTATCAAAGAAGAAGAAAACAGTTGTTCCCCTTTTATATCACTGCCACAAGGATTTTCTTGTCTTAAGCCCATTACAGTAGCAATAATGGTGAAAAGAAGATATATTATTGCCACCACAGCTTTCTTTCATAAAAGTTGCCCCATGTTTTCGCCATCAAATGTTTTGAAATGCAGTGCTTGGGCTCGTTTTTCCAAGTGTTTGCCAAGTTGTGGCCCTTGTTCTTTGGAAAAAGGGGTTTGCAGCAACAAAAAGTACTTTTGTGGATCAGGCTGCATCAAATTCTAAGAAACCAGTCTTTACTTTGTAAGTGTCTTTTGTGTTTGTTAATATTGTGCCAAGAATGTAAAAATGATGCTTGCTTCAAAAATGATATACTTGTTTTGTCAAACTAAACATGGTTTTTTTTAAAAAAAAAGAATCATTTTTTACATATGTGTTTGCAATTTGTAACCACTAACTTTGTATGGATTAAATGTTGCAAGTGGAAAAATGTTTTAGACCAAATCTGGGCATGTACTGGCAAAGACATAAACTGGATGCATGTAATTAAATGTGGAAAGTGGATTCTCAAGGGCTTTTGGCTTTAATGTACTCTCCAGGTTTGTCCAAAACCAATATTTATTGTGGCCCTGTAAAAGCTGGAGCAGCTTATGTATGGGGCTTGTTTTAGTAGATATTCTAGTAAGTTAATTCAATTAATCCTCATTTAGGATTGTATAATCTTGCTTCCAACCAATTTTCGGTCTTTCAGTCCAGTTTAAACCAGTACATGTGCTTTAAATGACATGCATTTTATAATAACTAACTAGAAATGTTTGACCATGTAAAGTTTGAGACTGTAAAATAAGAAGCAACCTTTTTAACGCCCTGAGATTATTTTCTAATCATTCAGTTTAGCTATGCTTAATTTATTTACATTTACTAGCTGCAATCTTACAGCAAGAAACTTCATGCAATACCCAATTACTCAGAGGGAACTTCAGCTCTCCAGATGGAAGTGTATTTTTATGTCTTATGTCCTTTATACAATATTATATACTAATCATTTGTTTTAATTGAATTACAACTCGAAGCATAGTAATATCAATCACAATATTCCCATCATAACATCCTGAGTACTTACAATACTCTTTTTATTTAATTGGAGTATGATCCATAAAAGTGGACCATATTTAATTACAGTTGTCTTTTTACCCCACCCTTTAATTTATTAACATGCCAATAACCTGCACAATTTTTTGGAGTATTTGTATCTTCCCATTCTTGCCATCTTCAAAATGATTGCACAATCAACTGTCTCTTTCCCATAGCACAAGCGCAAAACTGTCCTATGTCCTCAAACCTTTCAATTATTTGCATTATTAAATAATTGAATGCAAATATGTCTCCTCAATAACATGAGGATATCCAGTAGGCCCTGTGAAACAACATTATTCTTATCCTGTGATGGATTGAGAAAGCGTTTTTAAGAACATTTACCTGTATACGAATGTGATTTTCATCAACGTCAGAGTTCCGTCTTATCCTGAGTGAATCTAAATTTGAAGCTCACATTTTCATCCTATAACCAAGGAGCTGAATTTCACAACTCATGAACTTTTCCTGAACAATAAACAACCTTGGTTTTTTTTAAATTCAATTGAGCATTGCCATCTATTCTGCAAGGTTACTGTCAGTCAGTGTCTATCAACTGTAAATATTAGCATTGAAACTTGGAAGGTAGTATTTAGTTTGTAGTTCTCTAAATGACACTTAAGCAATCTTACTCACCCACTAGTTTCTAATGTAGAGGGGGTAAGAGGCCTCGCCAGCTGCTAAATCAAGGAAGGAGGCTTTAGTCTCCTATCTTGGTTGGCATAGGAGAGGGCAGGGGAAGCAGAGTTGTGCCTAGCAGAGTTGTTTCGTTGCCGGTGGTGCTTACAGCCAAACTGGGACCCACTGAGCAATTTGGCTGCAAGTCCTTGCCATGCTCCGTCCTTGTGCGGTATCTGAAGATTTGGAGGTCACCTGCCTCTGTGGAAATGGGTGTAGCGTGTAGTTGTTTGCTGCAAGATTGCAAGGGATTGTTTTTATTCTTGACCCTAGCAGGTAGGTGGTGGTCACTGCTAACTTTATTGGAATCGCTGGGGCTAAAATTCTGTGCCATTCTTGCCAGAAATGATGTACAGGCAGCTGTACTGGTATCAACTTCCAGTTGGCCAAAGCTTTTTATGGTGATATTAGCGCTGTTATAATTGAACTGTCTGGAGATGCAGGATTATAAGTATCTGATAGCAAAGGTGGGATTGTGTTGTTGTTCAGTTGCAAGGTCATCTCCGACTCTTCCCAACTCCATGGACAACATTCCTCCAGGTTCTCCTGTCCTCCACTATCTCCCAGAGTCCACCCAACCCCACACCTACCTCCCCAGGGACCCCATCCAGTCACCCCAACCTCTGCTGCCCCTTTCTCTTTTTGCCTTCAATTGCTGCCAGCATCAGGGTCTTTTCCAACGAATCCTTCATGGGGACTTGACAGTTGCCCCTTCCCTATATGATAAATTTAATAACAGATTAAGGGAAAGTATAAAAAGAACCTAGTTAAACACAGAACATGATAGTCTAAGATTTAAGTTGCAGTCCTATGTAAAGAGCCAAGCCCTTTAAATTCAATGGGGCTTGCTTTGCAGTAGCCATGCAACGGAATATGCTACATATGAGATCCTAGAGTTGCTTTGTTGATGAGAAAACAAGATGGTGTCCAACCTACTTCAACCAACTTTTGATCAGCTCCCTCCTTGATAACATACCGGGAATAATAACACATTTTAGTACCTTTTCTAGTTAGTCATGGCATGACCTCATCCACTGATAGTTTTACTACAAATGTTTGCTTATGTGCTTAAACTAGCAGTATTGTGGTTTCCTTGTCACAAGATTATCTCTTGAAACCCGTTGAGTTTGTTGGGATTGCCACTCGAATATGTGTGCATAGGATGCAGCCTCAATCTTGCATTGACATGGCAGGGTTGCTCTTTTGGTTGTGCATCATAACTGGGCTAATAGCTCAAGGCAGTATTTTCCCCAGATATTCAGAGACAATATTTATGAGCAGTAGGAGAAGAGACCACACATTCATAACTTCATGGGTCAACCACATTTTCTACATTCTCCTGAACAAATAATGTAGAAATTAGGGATTTAAGTGCAAAATTTTAAAATGCCAAGAAATCCCATCTCAGAAGTGTTCGGAAGAACGACAGTTCGATTATAACATGTTTGATTTCTTGCTTTCTTAAAGAGGCTGAGAGCAATGGCAGTTGCCTCTGGTGCCTTTCTAGGAAGCCATGGGAGATTCCAAGAGTGGAGAAAGGCGCACTGTAAGAACCAGTGCAGATGTGATTGTGGTTGGCTCTTTTGTTCTCCACGTCGTTGACCTAGTTAATACAGAGCTGAAGGTAGGGTCTGATTTCAAGATGATAAGACATTCACAGGTGAGGGCTGCTAAACCTCGGTGGCATTTGCCCACATGCCTTTTTCTCATCTCTGCTCTGATACTGTCAGGTCACAATCCTTTGCATGTTTAGACGAAAAAGGGGGTGTTAGAACCCCTTCAATGGTATGGAGGCAATAGGAAGTGAAGGCCACAGACTGGGAGGGTTCAGTTCCCCTTACTAGGTTGGTCTCTGGATATTAAACTCTCACATCGCTGCATCCCATAGATTAAGTGAGGCATGAATAAACAAAATATGGCAGTCACTATCATATTTAGTTGGTCTGAAGAAGAAATCAATTGTGATAATATTGGGTATATTGTCATACTTGAAAATGTCTCTTCTAAAGCTGTTCTAAAGTTTTTCTACATACACATTAATTTCTTTAAAATGCCATAAAAGACATTTTCGTTCTCTGCATATAGTAAGAATCTGTGGACTTTTTGTTAAAAAGGCAAGTATACTTTTTGGGAGTAAATTGTTGTCTTTAACTTTAAATACAGGGTGTACCCAGGTGGGGGTTTTGTTTGTTTTTTGTGGGTAGGAAAAGATGGGCTACGGATTTAGAGTAGAATGCACTGTGGATCAGTGCTTTTATTTGTACATAAAAGGGAAAACATTTTTTCTTAAGTAGCCTGCATTTTGAGGACAACGTCAGAATGCACTGTGAACAGGTCATTTCCATTTTAAAGATTATATTTTGAGTAATGGGAAACTGTACATGTTCTTGCTACAGTTATTGGAGATTATGTAGAAATAGATAGATTGCTTTTGACTCTGAAGGTGTAATTTGGCTTTTTGACTGTCATGTACTGCTTAAATATGCATTGTGTAGTTACTTTTCCCCCATAGCTATCTAATACCTGTTTATTTTTAAAGATTTTAATAACCAGTACAGTCTCTCTTCTCACCCTATGTTTCTTTAGTATTCTCCAAATTTGGTAAATCTTTGGTAAATATATTTCTGCATCAAACACTGAAAGAGGAAGGGAAAGGTTATAGACACATCTGTTTACCTGTTTTTTTCTCTTCTGATCAGCCATTTCATCTTACTGTTCCTATATTCTTGCCTCCCACCCCCAGTGCAGTAAGTTTCTGCCTTTTTGTGGATATCTGTTTATTGAAAAGAAGTTTTGGATGGCTTTTAAAAATTAGTGTGTACTTGTGCTCAGAGTTAGATCCATATATTTGAAATGTTTATTTAAAATCCTTAGGTCTTGCATCTGAAACAGAAAATCATAGTGGGATTCCCTGCTCCCCAAAAACTGCCCGAATTTGTAGAAGAGACAACCAACAACCTGGACTGGGCAACTTGTGTGTCTCCAGGTGTTTTCCCCATCATGTCTCACTATTGGCTCTGCTAGTGATGATGGGAACTGCTGCCCAGAACAGCTAACGGGCCACAACTTGTTCACGACAACAAAAAGTGTAATAGGCTGGAGATTTAATTGGCTTTAGGTCCCTTGTGCTCATGAAACAATGATCACACCAAAGTGGTAACTCTTCGGCTGCACTGACATGGGACAGATCGGCCAAGACCATCAAAATGAGTTCCCTTAAAAATCGGAGCTGGTGTAAGTGAAGCTAGCCTTGTTTGAACCCAACCGCAGCACTGAGTTTGGGGAGCAAAATGCTCTTGCAAACCAGCTCACTGCACTGTGCCCACCCCCACCCCCCAGGCAAGTTTTGGCGTACATGGGCAGCCTGCTGATGAGCAAGAGCAGAGGGCCAAACTAAATACTAAAACCAAAAGTGGGATCATGTGTCCATGTTTAAAGAGATATTGGCCGAGGGAGGGTGGGATCCCTCCAGGCCCAGAGCTGTTGTTGGGGAAATGATACTAACCCCAGTGGCAGCTTCTCTCCCAGTACAAGCAGCATGCTGGGGCAGGGGTCACCGTTACGACAGCAGGTGAGAAAGACCTGCTGCTTATGTGTACGGTGTTCCAGATTCCCACAACCGTACCTGCTATTTCATTGAGAGACAATACACCAAATGAGATGATACTGCCCTCTCGTTCGATCCAGACCCATCAGTCGAAGTGAAAGATCTTTTAGACAAATAAACCTGAATTAACATGAACCCTACAAACTTCTCAGGATTTGGAGAGCACCTGTGTGGATTTTTGCTCAGTCTGCATGGGCGTAAAATAGTGCTCGCTGAGCAAGAAGAGCAGTCCACTCCTTACATTTAGCAGCAAATATGGGAAGATGCTTATATGACGGCAGCATCCGCTAGTTATTAGCAGGAGCAGTGGGATGGCAAAGCATCTCATCGCCAGTGTAGTGCTACCAGGCAGGCTTGCCCATGAGCCGAGTTCTGCAAAATTCAAATCTGCATTTCTATAACTGTGCATTAGTGGCAAAAGCTAAGTTAACCTGACACGCCTTCAGCTCAATGAGGGCTAGCTCCTTTCTCATACCTGGCATTTTTGCGGTGTCCACTGCCCTCTGGTTGTGATCGAAACAGACTCTCTTCAGAAAAAAGCATACAGGATGCTTCTGCAGAGTTGGCTTGTTTTACAGACAAAGAGAAAAGTCTGACGACCATATTTTCCAGTTTGAGAACCATCCTAAGTTAAAATTCAGAGGCCAACAAAAGCTGCCACGTTACCTAAGTGACAAACAGCAAACCTTAGAATGCTGAACGAATACCTAGTAGACAAGAACTTTATTCCACCAGTCCAATTAACACAAGATGCTGTTTTCTTGGTACCCACGGTAATAGTGAAGTCTACCTGAAGCATCAGCTTCACATAGACCTGGGTTTGCCAACATGGGTTCAATAAATATCCCACAACTGATACTTCCAAAAATTTCTTTAAAAGGCACAAAGTCTTTGTAAAAATGTAACTAAATCCAAGTAGAGTTGAAAATCTAAGTTGTCTCAGCATTAAAACATTAATGAATGTATTTTCTCTTTTTTATTTTGCAAATACAGTATGGATTTCTGCAAATGGTTTTGTACATTTTTGTATTTGAAATGCTTTTCTCAGTTGACATTTTGTTTCATATTTGAGATGTAGTCTAGTGGAGTGCATGGTGCTTTTTCTATTTCGCCTAGTAAACATGATGTCTCTTTATTCATCTCCTATCTACTTTCCCTTCCAAAAGTTGAAAAATGTGAACAAGCCACATCTAGCCATGTAACAGATAAGTTCAGTTCCTGACTCCTCTTTTCTCCTCTCCTCACCCAAACACCTTATTTCGCTGAAGCACAGGATCGGCTATGTTAACACTTTAATTCTCATACTTCATGACTTGATTTATATAAAACAGGGAAGTGGTTGTGACTGTTGCCTAGAGTCCTCCATTTTGTTAATGAAACAGGTTTTGGAAAATAAACTTTGGCACAAAGTGGCTTGGTTGTGTGTTTCATATCTATTCAGAAATGACGATATTTCATTTGGGGCCATTAAATATTGGTGGGGTATATAAAAATCTGTGCATTGCCAATGTAAATCTAAGAACGATCAGCTATGGTTGATAAATGAAAGTGCTTTCGTAACCCCAAAACACTTTGGTTTTACAGGCTGGTGCACTCCCATTGGTCCCTTAAGTTAAGGATATTGGTTTTTGTTAGCAGTAGGTGAACTGCCACGAAGAAGAGCCTTGGGGACCTTCAGTTGGATCTTATAATGGCATCCCCTTCCTGTTACATTTGGACTTGAATCCTTAAGGGCCCAATGCTTTGCACATACAGAAATAAGTCCTACAACCCCCAGCATGCACTTTAAACCCACATTCAGAAAGCAATTCTGGTATATCATATTTTGATTCAGGACATAGCATATCACCACGACGGAATTCATTTCCACGAAATGTAGCGATGGCCACAATTTTGGATGGCTTTAATTGGGCAAATGCATGGAGGAGAAGGCTATCAATGCCTACTAGCCCTGATGACTGTGTGTGACTTCCAGTCCCAGCGGCAGCGTGGCTCTCTTCACCAGCAGCTGGGGAACATGGGCAGTTCCAGCTTGTGGATCCCCGTGAGCAACTGTTTGGTCACTGTGAGAACACAATCCGATCCGGCATGGCTCTTCTGATTTTCCTTTCTTAGACAACTGCCCAGCAATATTTTGTCTTGGTTGGGGAGTCTTGGGTGTCCCCTCTGAATGGAAGGGAAAGCTCACACCCCCCTTAGCTATCTTCTGCATGGGCTCCAACGGGGAATTCATCTTAGATGTGACATTTGGGAATTTGGTCTTTGTCCTCTTTAACTTATTCCAATTTACCAACATTCAAGGACTGTGCACTTTTGTATCAAGTATGGCTCTGAGAACCAAAACGCAAGAAGCTGGGACCTTCTGGTCACACCCATCACCCAATATATTTTGTGGACAAAACCTGCTAGATGGGAGTGGGTTTATTTATTTATTTATTTATAAAATTTCTATGCCGCCCCATTCGCCGAAGCCTCGGGGCGGCTCACAAAGATATTTATTTTTGTGAGTTATTTATTTTGTGGGTTATTTATTTTAAAGCCACACTGCCTTTCCATTCCCAAACATGATCCACACACATCCCATCCCATTACTTGGTCTTCACACTGAAAACAGTTCCACAGTTCAAAAATGAAGCTCTGGATCAAGAAAGACCTCAGTTGCAACTGCCCTGTACATGCAATCCATGAGAAGGAAGCAAACTTCTCAACCAAGTAATCTCACTACACTATTTGGGAGGGGAAACTTCACCCCTGTGTTTTGCTCTCCGGACTCGCCTTCGCTTAAAAGGACAAGTGGACCGAACTGAGCATTTAAATCTTTGCACGGTGGCAAAGATTTTGACTGATCCGCCAGTGGCAGAATGGAGGCCCCCGTAAAATGCCTTGGGGTACCTACCTTTTGTGTGCAGGCTTACCTGGTCACTGGACAGGCCAGGCTTGCTTGCCAATTTACGGCAACTGCCATTTGGATGCCCTACAGTGGGCTTGGTGGTGACCCACTCAAGCGAGATTCTTTGGCCTTATATTTATCATGAGAGAACATAGGAAAGTCTCTTACATTGGATCAGACCATCATCCATTAAGCTCAGCTCTGTCTAATAGGGGTACCGGCAGGACTCTTCCAGCCCGTCCCCAAGAGATGTCTGGGGGTTGCATGCCAAGCAGGTGCTCTTCCAACTGAGCCTTGGTTTATTCATGGTGTCAGCCTTTTGCACCAAGCTTCAGAATTGCAAGCTCCTATATTCTTCATCATCACCATCATCATCTTCTTCATCTATTAGTCTGCGATTATGGGCTGGGGCTTGGGAGATCCGAGTTCAAGTCTCCATTCAGCCTTGCAGTTCACTGGGTGAGTGTGGGCCAGCCCCCGTCCCGCAGCCAAGCCTGCCTTACAGGGTCGTTGTGCAGATGAACTGCAGAGGAGGAGCGTCACATCACCCGCGGCGAGTGGGGAAAAGGATAACAAGAGAATGCACGAATAAAATCCAGTCTCCTCCAAAATTCTGCAGATCCTCCTTAGCCAGCAACTCCAACGTCTAGAGCGAACGGTAGGAAAGACACGGAAAAAACTCTCCTTTTTCACTCGCGGTCTTATTTCCCCAGCAGAACAAAACACCACAAAGCAAAGCCACGACCCTACACCGCGCATGCGCCGAAGCGGCGGCGGAGGGTAGTCAATCACGCTTTCTCGTAACCAGTGGAGACGCTTCGTCGCTCTCCCCGCCTTTTCTCAGGGCGCATGCGCGCGGCGAGTGCGTGTGCTCTTTCCTCCTCCCCAAGATGGCGGCGGCCACCAGCAGCGCGGCGGTTTGCGGCGACGGCCCCTCCGGGGGCGGCAAGAGGGCGCACCTGGGCATCCCCGAGGCGGTCTTCGTGGTGAGTGAGGGAGGGCCGAAGGCCTGGGGCCAACCGGCCGGGGAGGCGCCGCAGTGGGGCGAGGGAAAGCGGGCCGGTAGAAGCGGGGCCTGGGGAGGCGGGAGAGAATGGAGGGCTGGGGCCTGAAGGGAGGGAAACGGTGTGCGTTGGGGGGGGGGGGTCCGTTGTATGGCTGCGCATGCGCCGAGCCGCTGCCCCTCCCGCAGGCCCGTCCAGCCCAGCCCACCCTCCTACCTTGTGGTGGCCCCTCTGGGGAAAGATGAGCCGCAGGCAAGGCAAGGCAAGGCAAGGCAGTAGTGGGAATGCCCCTGCCGCAGAAGAAGGCTGCCAGTTCTTTATTTGTTTCCCTAGGTGCATTTCTATTCTAAATGCATTTCCTCCCTCCCGGAAGAATCGAGGCAATTGACATTGCTCCCTCCTCTTCCTATTTGATTCTTACAACAGCCTTGTAAGGTAGGTTAGGCTGAGTGTTAGCGACTGGCCCGAAGTCACCCAGCTCAGGCAGCTTCATGGCTAAGTGGGGGCCAGAAGCCGGATCTTCTGCGTCCTAGTCCAGCAGTGTAACCGCTGTGCCCTGCAGGCCATTATTGGCTGTCATGTTTCAGTCTGTTTCCGAGCTGATAATTTTAGAGCCCTTAGCAGCCTCCTGCATACACTTGTCTGGGCTCTAGGAGCTGCTAACAAACGAAGCGAGGTTGGAGTCTACTAAGGAGAGGGCAATTCCAGTTGTTGAGTGCCCTCTGCAGAGAGAGGCTTGCCTGCTGCTTGCACTGTGCTTTTTTTTTTTTTTTTTAAAGGGTCAGGGGAGACTTATTATATTCAGGCCTTTTAGACATTCCATTTTGTTTTAAATGCATTTTTAGGTCTTTACATTGCTGTTGGATTTTACTCTGGTTCAAGTCTGTTTTAGACCTTTTTCTGAGATTTTAGTTTAGTTTAGTTAATTTTTGAGGACCACCTAGAGAACAGTGGCTATTGCGCAGTTCCTAACACAGACATAAGGTAGCTTTCTCCTCCTAGACCCTCATATATAAATGTTGTTGTTGTTGTTTTAAATGTTGTTGTTGTTTTTCTTTTAATTGCTATATTATTATTTATGTATGTTTTATGTATTCTTTGTGAGCCGCCCCGAGGCATTGTTGCGATGGGGGCAGCATAGAAATGTTTTAATTAAATAAATAAATATGGAATTGTATGCCCCAGGTAGAGAAATAGTGATAAAGGGGCTTTAAAAACTATTTTGCAGAATATAAATGCTTTAAAAAATTGGGCCCACACATGCTGAATTAGATTGAATGATCTGCCTAGACCAATATAATTTTTGCCATATTAGTCTATGTGGTGCGTTTGTGGACAACTGATGGATGAGGGAAGAATGTGATGGTGAGAGTGCTGTGTGTCTTCCCCATTCCCAGCAGCTGGATTCAGAAGCATCCTTATTGTCAGCATGAATTCCCGGAGGGGTAGCCAAGTCACTCTGATGCAGCAAAAACGGCAAAGTTTTGTGGCACTTTAAAGGCTAATGCATCTATTCTAGCATAAGCTGCTCTGGACACTGCATCTGATAAGGAAGAATCATTGAGAGAAAAGTAAGCTATGGTTGTGTGCGCAGGCTGGAGTGACATTGGAACCTGGTGAGGATGGGTGGCTGGGATGGTTTACAAACTACACTGAAACCCAGGGCTTGTTCTAGGGTTACAGGATGGTTTGTAATCCACCCCAGTCACTTACCTTTGCTGGGTTTGTATGTCACAAGAGCCCATAGCCAGCTACAGTAATCATGCTGGTTTTTTCTCCATGATCCTGTGAACACTCCCAGTGTTCTGATTTTATATCAGAATAAATGTGATACTCAAGCTGCCACAGATTCTTTGTTGTTTATCTTGGTATGGAGGTTCCATTCATGACTGATTGCTCCCAGTGGGTCTGCCTAGCACATGTTTATTTCTTCATCTAAGAGGCAGGATGGAAAATCCTGCTGGATCCACCCAAGTGGCCCTTCCTGTTCGGCATACTTGTTCATAGAGTGACCTGCCAAGCACCACTGGGAAAAGGTCGCCAGCAGGCAAAGCAAGAGCTGAATGCGAGGGAATGTGTTGCCCCCTCCCCCAGCATTCTGGGCTAGGCTGCCTTTTCATACAGAGGTTGTGTCCTTACTGTCATTTGCTCAGTATTTGCTTGTGTACATTTCTTTTTATCATAAATTACTTGTAAATCATCACTCATTGTATCTTGTTTTCACGTAGGATGTTGCTGTCAGTGGCTGCTAGTCATTATGTCAGTATTTGACGAGCTCCAGTATTGCAGGCATTGTGTCTGTATGCGCCCACTGCTGGGGAGGCCAAGTGGGAAGGTGTTACTGTGGCCATATCCTACTTCTGGGTTTCCTGCAGGCAGCTAGTTGGCCTCTGTGTGAACGGAATGCTGGATGAGATGGACCCATGACGTTATCCAGTAGGGCTCTTCTTACGCATCACACTTAAAAACCTCCTTTTTTCCAAGGAGCTTAATGCCGTGTACATGATCCTTCTCTCCGTGCCCCAGTATTATTCTTACAATATCAGCAGCTGTAAGGTAAAGTGCAGGAATTGTGCTCGTGACTGATCCATGGTCACCCAGTGAGCCTCACAGCCAGATGGGGGTTTGAACTCGGGTCTCTTTCATCTTGGTCCACGAATTCATAGCGGTGTTGCTGGATAGTTGTGCATATTTCTGTCTGTCATGGACTAATTGATTCTGAAGCTGTGCTGGATTAGACTGAGAACATCGCTAAACCAGTAACCATCTGGAGCCAACAAAAGCTAATGTGAAATCCACAATATGTGTGTAGAGATAGGTGTATGTATTTGGCCACACTACTTTTCTTCCTAGGCAACCTCTTATGTGAGGTTTATGTTAAAAAGAAAAAAAAGTCATGGTTTTTTATATCCTCTCATTTCCATCCAAAATGTAGAGGAGGAGGTGAGAGCCAAAATTGTTTGCAGTCTTCAGCATATAAGGATGCCGTGCTTCATTTTGCATTTTAGTTCACTTGGATAGTTTTTGGTGGCTTTTAGCAAGCTTCATTTGTTTTGTATATACACATGCAGCAATCGCTGTACTTTGGTGCATAACAGTGACATGTTGTAGCTAGTATTCTCACTTGATAGAGACAGAAGATCCAGACTTGGAGCAGGTTAGCCAGTCTTTTCTGCTTCTTTCACGGTCTTTGTCCTGTAGAAACTCAGTAACCCAATTTGCATAAGTTAGTAGCAAACCATGCATCAATTTCGCCACAGAACATACCAGGTGCATTCTGCATTCACTTTGAATATTCAGCCCCTAATCCGGTTGCTCTGTGATGTTCAGACCCAGAAATCACAGGCTAATCATGGATCAAGCAACCTATGGTTAGTCTACAGGTTGGTTAAGTTTATCCTATGACTAATCTATAACGTTCCTTTCAGATGTCACACAATAATCCCCAGTTGGTCCACCTGAGGGTTGAATATTCAGAAAGACTTCAGAACACACCTGATAGGTGCTGCAGTAGATTGTGCGTTAATCAAACCATGATTTCCTGCTGCTTCATGTGGACAGCTCCAGTACACCACTAGGGTGGTTGCCCATCTTGCTGCAGTGAAGAACACTGCCAGTTTCAGGTTTGGGGGTACTTTTGGGGAAGACACCCTGAAGAGACTCCTCTCCATTGTTGCCAACTATAGCTACTTATTTTACCATCTGCTCACTTGCCAGGGACACCCTGCTTCTGACCTGATACTCTATGAGCTAGAGGCAGAGAGTACCTTAGCAAACTGATGGAAGTAGGGTAGGCAACAACAGCAGATTAAAGGGAATCCTGTGATGGAGCTTTTGCTGAGTTAGGTGTCTGATCATGCCAGTCCCTGACCACAGACATGGGAGAAGGCAAAGCAGACAAGATCTTGGCAACCTTGCCACAGTTTTACAAGGTTGCTTGAACCACAGCTTTTGGAGTTACTGAGAATGTGTGTGTGTCATTTTTACTTGAAGGAAGATGTCGATTCGTTTATGAAACAACCAGGAAATGAGACAGCAGACATAGTGCTGAAAAAGCTGGATGAACAGTATCAGAAATATAAATTTATGGAGCTTAACCTTGCCCAGAAGAAAAGAAGGTATGTGGTTTTTCACATAGACTGCTCTAACGTTGAGAATGTAACTGTCAAACCATCACACAGATGTGAGAGGTTTTCTAGTTAATGTTCAGAAAATCTGTCTGTAACCTGTGATTGTGTCTTTCAACTTCATTCCTGTTCACAGTAGCAAAAAAACTGACATTGCAGTGCTTTGATTCATTTTTATTTAGTAAAACCCAATAATTCTTAGGTTAGAGCAGTGGCATAGTTTTGACTCAGTTAGGGGGTTCATGCATTGTGATGGCCATAGTTAAGTGGATCTCAGCCAAATGTCCCCAGATGTTGATGGGCTACAAGCCCCACCATGGCTGCCCGTCCCTGCAGGCTAAGGATTACGGGGGTTATGGTCTGTTTAGTGGCCTATTCTGCTGCACGGCCTGTCAGTTGCAATTCCATTATAGAAAATACCTTACTGGAGTGAACTGAATTAACTGGATGACAGAAATGGAGCTGAAGTGGGTAGCTAATTTCCGTTAACTCTTTTCCTTTGCATCTTCATTTCAATATGTTTTTGAAGGAATGTGAGGATAGAGTATAAAAGCCGAACAGAGTCTAACCTGCCTCACAGGGTCACAACCTAAAATAGAGAGCAAGTTTATTTAAGCCACCTTGGGTTCCTTGCAGAAAAGAAGGTGGGATATGAATAAACAAACAAGCAAACTTACTTATGTTTCTGTATTTGCTTTAAAATATGAAGAATATAGAATTCTATATTCTGTTGGCATGTGAGAAATCCTACCCTTGTCAATAGTTCTACCAAACCATTCTAGTCTCTTAGAAGCACAGCAGAAGAGTTCTGTCGGATCAGACCAAAGTTCCATCTATTGTTGTATCCCAACTCCAGCAGTGGCCAATCAGATACCACTGGAAATCCCATGAGCCACAGCACAAAGGCAATTTTTCTTCTCTGCTGCCCTCACAGTCCCGTTTATCCCAAGCACTTGACACTCTGAGTCATTTGTTTGGTATGTTTGTAGTAGGTATTTATTGCTGTGCTGAAATGCATTTAGTGAGTAATTAGTAATACAGGGGCCACTATGTAAAGGAATTAGATATTTGCATCCTTGTCTGCTTTTTGCGGTATTTTACTTGTACTAAGAGTTAAAGAGTTGATGAAAAATTACAAAGACTTTTATAAAGAAAACTTAAATACAAAACATTCTCTTTTATTTGCAGGTTAAAAAATCAAATTCCTGAAATTAAGCAGACTTTAGAAATCTTAAAACACATGCAAAAGAAAAAGGTAAATTTCTTAAAGTTTGCATATGAGTCCATTAAGCTGTTTGTTACTGTATGCTTGAGAACTCTGGGATACTATGCCTAGTTTAGTTTTACAGAATGAATTCATTTCTCTGAGCTAATAAATGGGGAAAATAATAGTTCTAAGCCATGGATGAAAACCTGTTTCACCCTAAAACCAAACTCAGCTTTGCAGAAGCTCTCAAGAACCATTTTTCCAGTTGTCCCTGGGAGCCAAGGCAATGGGTTGGGACAAGAGACAAAACAGGCCGGGATAAAAGTACCCTCCTCCCCAGAACTTTGCATATTGTAGATTAAGTCATAGAACTCCTGGTGTTTCTCTTCCTTGCTGGCTGGGGAATGCTGGGGATTATAGGATGTTTTGCTGGCTAAACATGGGTGAGAGCGCACCCTAAAGCCCTTAGTGCCAGTAACCAAGTCTTAGGAGGCTCTCACCTTTTTTGGAAAGGGGAAAACAAAAAATGATTGCTGAAGGAATTGGGATGGGCGCAGTGAGAGGGGGCGTGACCATCTGGGGATTAGAAGATTGTTACTAGAAGTTTCTTCATACAGCTGGACTAGATCCTTATTGACTTGTTATCTTTCCTTTCCAAAGGAATCTACGAACCTGATGGAAACCAGATTTTTATTGGCAGATAACCTTTACTGTAAAGCTTCTATTCCTCCTACAGATAAAGTTTGTCTCTGGTTGGGGGTAGGTAATGCTTGAGTAAATATGCAGAGGTCAAGAATAGCAAGCATCAGCTCTGATGCTGGAATTATTTTAGACCTTAACCTGGTTGGAAGCACCTTTGAATGGTGTGCATTCCTTGTTGGATGTCACAGGTCTTGCTGGGCCTTGTGAATTCCGTTGATTGCATTTTTCCATTTGTATTCCAAAGGTATCATTACCCTTTCAAATGACTGGAATAGTTTGAAGCTCTTAACACGGAGCTGGATCCTGATTTATGATCTACACTGGAGGAAATTACTTCCCCATTCCTTCCATCCTATGGGAGTCCTTCAGTTCCCTCCAAGAATTGTTGACTGGTGGTGGGAGCTTTCATGAGTAGGATTCTCTTTCATGCTGAAGGTTCCTCCTCCTTGTAGAAGGCTGATCCTTGACCCACACAATGTTGAGAAAGGTCTGAGCTTGCTGTGGCAAATCTATTTGCCTTGTGACCAAAATGGATGAAAAATCCAAGCCTCACTTTTAAATATGTCTGTTGTGTATCTGAATTTGAGCTAATTGTTAAGTTTGGTTTTTACCCAAAATAAGTTCAAGTCCAAAAAGTACAACTGTATTATGCCTTCAAGGGGAAAGGGAAAAATGAAACAGAGGGTCTTGAAGGTGAAGTTTAACTCGATCCTATAAACAGTTTTTCATTTTAAAACTAATTTCAAGAAACCATAAAATATTCTTCGGTTTTGGTTTTGTGTTTAGGCCAACGTAATGCTGGAGTACGATATTGATGAAGCCCAGGCATTGCTAGAAAAGAATCTCTCCACAGCTACACGAAACCTTGAGTCTCTGGAGGAAGATTTGGATTTTCTTAGGGATCAGTTCACAACTACAGAAGTCAGTATCCTTTTAGGTATTGAACGTTTGATTCCGAATACTGTCACCGCCACATCTTTCTGCTTGTTCATTGACTTTATTTGTGCTTGTTGAAACCATTAAGGACAAAAAGTCCAATAGCCAGTACAGATATTTTTATTTCTGTCCACCTTTTCAGTCAAGATTATTGCTGCATCATCACCATTAGCAGCAGCACATTGCATTTATATCCCACCTTTCTCCACTTGTGAAGAACCCAAGGCTCCAGAGCGCCATGTTATTTTTACAAGTAACCCTGTGAGGTAGGTTAGCTGAGAGAGTGCAAGTGGCCCAAAGTATTCCAGAACGCTTGATGCAAGATGTCGATCGCTCCTGCAGATATTTTTCTTACATTTTGTGTACCTAAACAAACATTCATGTGGAGAGGATAAATGCCAGTAGTTTGGCTGGACCTTCCTGAAATTTCAAGTTATTAGCATTGACACAGCAACTGGAAAGAAATGAAAAACCTTTGTGCTTAAGCTCCATGTTGACATGACTGTCATTCTTGGCACTCGGTATTTTTTCTGGCATTGCATAATGTTGTTACCAGTTTCTGGAGCATAATCTTCCTATTTGAAATGTACCATGTGGACTCTGGATAGAAATACACACACAATAATGAAGGGACATAAGTGGCTGCTGTTATTTTGTTGAACAAGAGTTTCCTTAACCACACCTCCAGATATGGCTAGAGTTTATAACTGGGATGTAAAACGAAGAAACAAAGATGACCCTTCCAAAAGCAAAGCATAGTTCTTCCAGTTTTAAATGCAGTTTTGATTTTCAAAATATTTTCTTATTTTAAAATAGCCTTTTGGTTCAGCCCACAGCGGACTGAGTTTAATTTAATCATTCAGCCAAGTAACATAAAAACGTAAAAAACAATGGTGAGCATCGTTATTTATTTGTGAGCCCTGCTTGGTTCCATGCATGCTTCATGGTTTGGGAAACAAGCCACGAGGGATGCTGCCTCTTCAGTCATAACGGTGTCCCAGGAAAACCCTTCCCAGTTGGTTTGTCTAAAAAGTGTGAAGTGTGTCATTAGGACATTTCAGCAGGTCACTATACTTTTGTGAGGAGTTGTTCACTGTAATCTATGCTTGCTGCGGGGGGGCCGGGGTCAGCAAATTCTGTTTTGGGGAGGGGCACCCAGCAGGTGTGGTAGCAGGATGGGGAAATAAAACAGTCTGTTCACTGCAGTCACGACCACGGTGTCCTTCGGATGTTTCCCTCTCCGTTTTGTCCTGGACAATGACAATGACGAGAACTTTCTCTCCCACACACAAGCACACAGCTGACCTGCCGGTTCACGACTGACTAAACAGTGCAACCCGTGTGGTCTCCCCCTGTTGTGTGTGTGCATAAACACTGTTCTTCCTCATTCCCATTGGTAGAATTGGGGCATGCTGAAGACAGCAGCCTGCTGTACTTGGTCGGCACACTTGCCATCCCTTCCGTCTTGTTCAGAATCCGTAATGCTTGCAAAGGCAGTGGGTGAAACCTGCATTTAAACATGGGTGGTGCATGGGAACCTAGCCTCAGTGGTTGCCAGGTTGAATGCTATTCCCAAGTTGCTTATTACAGTTTCGCAGACGCGTCGCCTTGACACCTCCCCTCTTCCTTGAAACCTCAGCGCACACCTGATGGCCAGCGTACTGGTGTAATGCAGGTTTCACTTCAGAACGAAAAGCAAATGTTAACTGTGTCCTACTTCATGTAATAAAGAATACCTGTAAAGTTTTTGTACTTTTATTTCACTATATTAAAACAGCGCAAGTTAAAACATTTGTGGCAGAACCTCTTGTGCCTGTTTCTTTTTAGCATAAGGGCACCCGCATTTCTAAAACAGTTCCTAGAATGGCAGAGGGGATGGTGGCAATTAGATTACAGAAAAGAATTAGATTCCACATTAGATTACAGAAATGGATGGCTTTTCTAGGCCTTTAGCTCTTTAAGCAACAAGTAGCATATTCATTGGGCTTTCACAGAAAAAGGGCCCTGACCTGGTTCATGTGATCAAAATAGTATTTTTTTCACTGTTGCTTATGGAAATGGTTCCTGCACACCTCAAAATTTACATAAGCTGCCGTGGCTATGGTAAAGCAACCGTGGTTTATTTTGGTCATGTGAAGCAACCCATTCCCATGTGGAAAGGCACTTTGAAACTTTTGCAAAAGCTTGGGGTAATAATAATTCTGGGTGCTTGAACTGTAGTACTCCAGGTGCTGGGGACATCAGGAGCTTCACTAGAAAGTTCCACATTGGCAGCAGATCTCTGGTATAGAAGGAACTGTTCTTTTAAGCCACCTGCAGATCAGCCATTTTTTACGTAAAGCCTAACATAGGCACACATGCGTTCTGGTGAGCAGGGAGATTGTATCCTGTTTCACCTCTCTTCTGGTTTCACCTAGACAATTTTTGCAGTTGATGGATTGGCATATGTCCAGCTTTCGGTTGGTTTCAGCTAGAGTTAGCCTATTTGCTAGTGCACACTGGTAACACAGGAAAAAGTTAATGCCTGAACAACGTGGCAAACATCACGCGGGCAGCTCTCGGAACAAATTCTGGAAATAAAATGGGATAACGGTGGATTGTGTGGAGAAAGATTTCCATATGCTTCCCACTCTTCAGAGGGATAAAGGAAAAGTAGCTTTTTAGTGGCCTTTAATACTCAGAGAAAGGGGCTGCAAATCCAAGGGTCATTCCAAGGGAGCTCCTCAGACAGCTGCTTTCCTGTCCTGAGCATGTGCAAACTATGCCTGTGGTGATTATTTGGATTCTGCTTTGTGAATGTCCCCCTTTTCTGAAAGCCCATTTCTGGGCACTGCCTCACGGTCTAGTCTTGCTCGAGCAGCAGTGTTGCCCCAGGTAATTTTCTTGGCCCCTGCCAAGGTACCCTTCCTTACCATCATCTTACGAGCAGCTAGAATTACTGTGAAATGGGACACGGGTGAACCTAGGGTGGCCGGAGGAATTGAGATACGTGCGTGGGTGTTTTGGAAGAATGGGAAGGAGAGCTTTGATTGGTCCATCCTTGTATGAAATAGAAATCCTAGGAACCAAAAGGAAAGAAGACAGCAGTAAGGCTGAATAACTTTGTAATGTTTTCTTGAAACTGTTGCGGCGACTCTTCAGCAAGTAGAAGGTTGGGCCCAGTTCATAGCAAAACCTGGTCCTCCCACCACATGATGCATAGGAGAAGCATCTTAAATTTTGTAGGTAGGGAAAGGGCTGCGCAAAAGCCAGGAAGCCACCAAATGGTTGTGGGGAAAGGGAACGGCCATTTGTGGATCCTCAGTTGGGCTGAATCTGGTCCCCATGAACTGAAGTTCTGCACCCCTGAGCTAGGGCAATACAGGGCCTATCATTCTCATGAATATCAAAAAACCTGTCACCTGTATGTAATCCAGGAATTCATTGTCTTCTGGTTCCTGTCCCACAGTCTCAGCAATGATCATATCGAACCGTTTGCCAGAATAATCTGTCCATGATGGACTGGCGCAGGTATAGCCACTTGGAAACCATTGAAAAACACACAACATTATAAGGCAGTCACTAGATCTCTGCACACCTTTAGTTTAAAAATGCCAATGGATCCTGTTATAAACAGTGTGTATATTTATTATTCAACTACTCTGTATTGGAAGGCTTTTCCACCACGGTTGCTGAATACAGAGTTACTAGATGTTTGATGAAAAATGGCAGAGGAGGAAATAAAAAACATGGATTTTTCTTTACAACTTTTGAATGTCACATAATCACATTAACCATTTTGCTAGGTACAAGCATAATTTTCATTCACACACAGCTAAATACAGCATATTTTGTCACATTTCATTACAGTGCGTATAACAGAAAGCTAGGAAAAGTGTACAGTATTTTAATCTGGAGGTTTAGCGTATTTTTTTAACTCAGCATGCGACTGAGATCGTGACATTTGGACTAATAAATAGGCTTGTTTTTATTTTTCCTGTCATTCCCAGACAGCTAGAAAAATGAAAATAAAAAGCTTCCTTTTAACTATTAACCTCCAGTTTCTCTTGTAGTAGTCAAAATGCTAAAACTGGTTAAGAAAATGAAGTTTTTCATCTTACAAAGTTAAACACCTTCTATTTTTACAGAAGGTTTTCCCCTCCCTGCCCTCCCATCGCTTACTTGTGTAAACTGCCTAAAAATGTAAGGCATTAGAAAAAGGTTACATTGCCACTTTTGATCAGACTTATTATACGTTTACTTTTAAGAACTTTATATTCCCTATACATGATATTTTCTTTTGTAAATCTAATACATGATACCATACAAATTAAAGACTCCAGGTATGAGCGAACATTTCTATATGCATACAATTTATTTTATTTTTTAATCTGGGGCAGAAAATCAGTTTCAAACTAAACCTTTTACAGTCAAAAGAGCAAATGCAGAGAAGAGAAATGAAGTCTGCCATTGTGCTGTTGTAGACCTTGCTACAAAGTGATACTCTATTGGAAATGTGTTTTTGCATAAATGCTACTATCAGTGCAACCTAAATCTCCATATTCAAGCCTGATTTGTTTTAACAACAATACCAGGGACTATTCTGAAGCACAACATCTGAATTCATTGCAGAATCCAGAAAAACAAACCATGCTTGCTAAATTAACAAAGGAGCATAGCTGCACCTATCCCAGGTGATCTTACTTTCTCTTAGGTTTTCTTTGTAATGCCAGTGGGATCTAAAATTAGTTTGGGTAACGCTGTGCAAGATTTCCTGTCTTCTGCCATGTCCCCAAGAGAGAGAAAATATTCCTAGAATGGTGTGAGGGCATGGGGAATTTTTAAGCTGAAAAATGTCTGCGTGGATGGAGATAATACACAGTTGTGCAATGTTTAATTGCTTTATGACTCCTGTGTTTTACGAAAGTAAGACTACAGCTCAACAGTTCAGGATGAGGATTCTTAAGACTGCAACTAAAGTTAATGCCTGTGTATGCATATTTAGGATTGTACTGGCAAACTGAAGGGCTGGAGGAATGCAGTTCAGTGAAAGAGCATATTTTGGCATGCAGGAATTTCGAGGTTCTCCAGTTTAAAAGATCTTCGATCTTTTCAGATCTTGCACTTCAGAAAGCTGATTTCAGTCTGTATTTGGTGGGACAGATGATCCCATCCAGAGAAAGCTAATTGTGCCACGGAGAAAGCAATAGGTCAAATTCAAGCACAATCCAATAGGGGTGCCCATAAACCTCCAAATTTGGGGGATCATAGGCATCCTATGCAGGGCAAAAGGAGTTGGGGTTGCCCCTGCATTCCTACCACCCTAAAAACGCCACCACTCTCAGCAGCCTAATTGCTCTGCTTTGGAGCGGGAGGGAAAGAGGATGAAGTAACAATCGTGTCTTGGTGGCACCAGTTTCCTTTCACCCACACCACTAACCGCCTTCCCAAGGTGGTTCTTGTGACCTCTAAGAAGGTCTGGTTTGTTCCACACTGGCTACAGGGAACACAGAAGAGTCTTAGCTCCAGCATTGGAACGGAGCCACTGAAAAATCCTATGGCTCTCGTTCTCGTTCTCTCCCCCTCCCCCTCCCCCCTCCCTCATTGTTCCAAATAATTTATGTCCTATTTATTTAAAATGCATCATGCTGTGGCCAACTTCCTTTGGCATCGGGGCCAAGAGGTGGGGATGAAATGTATAGCATTGAGCAGCAGATGAGCAAGCGCAGGGCAGTGCGTTCGTGATGCTGGCGAGTGTGAGTTGCTTTGCCTATGGAAACAGTCATCACTTGGGCTGCTGGTGTAAGAGAGGAAGCGGCACCTGTCTGCGATGCAAGGTACTCAAGCGTATTTTGCAACACCTGGCAAATGAGTATTTAAGAAATGAAGCGGAAATGATCAACACTGCGGTTTGGTTCTTAAAAATAAAACAAGTTACCTTATTTGGCCTTAGCATGAAAAGCACATACTATAAAAACCACAACTTTATCGTAAAGGGAAGCCATGCTTCTAGAGAAATACACCTCCCCGACAAGCAGTACCGTCTTAGCACTCTTAAAATGCACTTTTGCAAGGGAGTTTTCATATATACAAATTTATGTAGGTATAATTGATCAGTTACTCAACTGAAGCCTGTAAGTTTGACCAAAACCTCTTTTAATTAGATGAAAAATATATCCCCCCCCCACTTATTTTTGCTTCTAGGTCATATAGCTTTGATATGGGCTAGACCTTCCCAGAGTATGACCACAGAACATCTTTTGATGTCTGGGTTCTACTTAAACACATGCGAAGCATTAACAATGAAATATTCAATAACTGAAACTTACTAGTAGACTGATCCTATGACCCCCCTGTGGCATCTAAGGGGCCACAGGATATTTTGGATTTCCAGCTGTGAGCAAAGAAACTGAACCCCAAACTTGCAGCGAGGCATCCGTGTTCTGATCCTCACTCACCTCACAGCCAGTGTGAACCGAACTGTGCCAGGTACTTCTCTGTTGTCCTAAAAGTGATGCTGGAGAAGGGGAACACGGGTAGGGAGGGGAAGAAGCTGGGATCGCCAGGATCCAAGGTATCCTAGGGGTCCTCCAGCTACCTTCCCTGCAAAGCACCACTACTAAATGGCTAATTTTGGCAGCCTAGCTGAACTGCTGAGCAGGAGGGGCAGGAAATTGAAGCCTACCTCCAGGCCCCACCACAGGTCCCTCCAGACCCCATTCCTCCAAGATCTGGGCTCCCCGCTGGATTGAGCACTCCTTGAGGACCCAGCCCCTGACATCAGTACGACAGGTAGAGTCCCTTCCTTCATCAATTGCATTCCTATTTCACAATCGCCATGTGAGCTACAACATTGTGGAAGTAGAAGTTGGAAAGAATGACCTTGCCTAGGGTTCTTTTCCCTGTTGATTCTGTCTTTTATCTCCATTTTAGCCTGAGACCTCCACTGTAGTTGTCCTCACAAGTTCCAGACTATTCTGCTTAATCGTATGTTTCATGTTGCATTTGGAAGGCTGCAAACCTCTTGGGTACCACTTTAGATTAAAAGTGCTGCAGCTCCCAGAATTCCCCAACATGGCTAGCAGGGGAATGCTGGGATTTTTCTCAGTCTAAACAAGCAGAAGATGGTGCTGTATAGCTCTTCCAGTGTTTTAATTCAGGGGCAAGTAACTTGGGGGTTCTGGTTCCAAACTTTGTGGGCTAAACTAAGAAACCCAGCAAACTGTCAAATTTTGATGGCAAACCACAATTTTCTTCCTTTTTTTCAGGCAGCAAGGTAGTGTGGACTACAGAAGAGGGACTGACATGAGACCCTTAGGCCTTGTGTTCCCCACCCATTTTATCTGCTTCAGTATTTATCCCTTATTTTTATATTAGTTTAAAATAGTATTGCTGCTTGTAAAACTTGAACAAATATTTAATGTTTTATCACTACTTTTATTATCTGTGTTGTTATTATGGATGTCACCCTGAGAGCTTCAGCTGTAGGACAACTCATAAATTGAATGATTAGTGAATCCATAGCCCACCTGAGCCACGATCTGTGATCTGCGTTATGTGATCATTTGCAAAGTTATCACGTAACCAGAAGATGTCATCTGAGCCTAAAGCATAAACAACGTAAGCATTAACTAATTGGCCTTTTTAAAAACGGAAAACAATGCAAAACTAGCATGGTAATTCCCCTTATCAATTCACCCATGTCAAGCTTCTGAAATTTCAAAGCATTTGTGAGGGATTTCCCAGTTTTAAATTCAAACATATTATAACATATACCCAGTCACAATGCCTGGGTGCTTTGCAAAATGGGCATGTGTAAATGATGCCAAATGTGAAAATACATCTGAAGATACATAGATTAAACTTTTTTTTTTAAGGACACAATCTTGTACAACCCAGTACCTCAATTTTCACACAAATAACCTCTTCCTTCTTTGCTTCCAGGAGACAAACTTTTTCCGTCTAATTTCCTTCTGGCTCATAATGCACATTAAACTTACATTCTTTGCACATGTGAATGTCAACTAACTCTAGCAAATGCATTGATTTCTCCCTGGGTACCCAAATGGAGTACTCGCTACAATGCTAATGCTCTAACCTGAAAATCAAAAGCTTTCTTAAAGCTGTGTAGGCCATCTCCGTACTCAATCCGACATTCAATTTTTTTTTTAAAAAAAAAATCTTTCTGGCACTTCTCCTCTCATACCCTCTACTTTAGCTACCTTCCTTTCCTGCAGAGGAAATGTCCTGGCAGAAAAACATTCTTTGCAAATGGATGCCTTCACTTTCCAAAGATGTTTCTGGACTCAGCTTTTCAAAAAGGAAAGAATAAAACTGTGGGGGGGGGGGTCCACCCTTCTGAAAAAACTGGTACTCATTTTAAAAATAGCCCTAAAGCAGCTAGATCTTGGTGATGTCTGGATCTTTCTCCTCCTAGACAACGGCACCACCCCATCTAGGAAATAATGGGTGTTACATGCAGCTGAGCATTTTCCAGCACTGATCATGGATTTTACCACAAATTTGGAAACTAGAAGCATCACCAGCTCAATGCTACGGAAGTAGCAGCAATCCATCCAGTTCCTCAGGAGGCCCGCCTGAGAAGGACTGCATCTGTGTTCATTGGCTGTACTGGGCAACCATTCAATGACCCCAAATGGTGCACCCTTTCCCATTCCCGTGTAAAAGGGGCAAGGTACGCAGGGATGGGCCGCAGTCTGTAAATGTTTCCCTTTTTTCTGCACTAGCATCCAAGTATGGTTGAAAGACTGGCAAACCAGTGAAATCATAATCTTCCTAAAAATATAGCATTGATCGAAGCCAAGATTTCACTTGCTCTATCCTGCTCTAAATAAATCCCATATCAAGTTGCAATCCGGACCGTGGCTTCAACACAAAACTCTAAATGACAGATGCAATTAAAACAGGGTCTATATAATTCCCTGACATGGGCTACCTGCTACCAGATCTCTTGTCTGACATTGCTCCATCTCCTACTAGATAAGCATGCATCCGGGTTCATTCCTACTTAATGGGGGTTACCACCCCCTGGAGAGTCTGTTCTTCCAAGACCCAAAGCAAGGTGCTCCTGCTGCTTTCTCTTCTGTTGCACCAAGTTCACGCAGCAGGACACGTTTCGGTTAGTCCGGCGTGGCGTAATTTCTCGTTTGCCTCTGCCATTAGCACAGACACCTCCGATCCGATTTCACCACCTCTTCGGAAGAATGCACCACGTTGGGGACAAAGCCGCTCTTGACCCCCTCCCAGCCCTCCTGGATGGTAATTTCCCCCCTTTTCACCAGCTCGTATATGTCCCGAGTCAGGTCGGTGAAGGCCTTCTCCACGTTAATGGCATCCCGGGCAGAGGTTTCAATGTACTTCATGCCATAGGCGATGGCCAGTTTCTCCGCCTCGTGCCTGGTGACCTGCCGTTGCGTGTCGAGGTCGCACTTGTGGCCCACCAAGACGAAGACAATCTGGTAGGGCTGGACGTGTGCTTTGGTCTCCTCTAACCATTCGTGGACATTCTGGAAGGATCTCCGGTTTGTAATGTCAAAGAGGAGGAGGCCACCAACTGAGTTCCTGTAGTAGGCTCTCGTGATGGATCTGAAAGAGGATGAATGCCCATATGAAGATCACCCGCAAGGGGAAACCGCGGGCTGCAAACACCCTTTTCTTGTCCTTTTGGTTGAAACAGCAAACGGGTGAGGACTTACTCGGAGCAGCCTAGCCCTCAGGAAGTTTTGGAAAGGAAGTCCCAGCTGCCATGGCCAGTGGCTATGCTAGATGGGGCTGATGCGAATGGATGCCCAACCAGAGAGCACTGGTGTGGGCGAGACGGAGCTGCAGCGTTGCCTTGCAAGCCACCCTGGACGGAAGCAGATTTGCACAAGACACTACAAGGATTATCTGCTCCATTGTCACCTGGTGTTATGTCCCCATGGGGTTCCTGCCCCATGGCTCCTGCTTGCTAATGTTTTGTCCACAGCTGGCCCTCCACAGGCCGGAGCAGCCTTATCCATGGCAGCCTTTGGTTCAAGCTCCATACTGGTGAAGCTGTTGGGGGGATGGAATGCAGCATCATGTATGGCCCCTATAAAGCTCAAAATAAAAGCTGTCATGAAGGAGGACCCCCACTGACATAGGTGCTACCGGCCTCCACTGCCCATGGGTTGCTTCATCCAGGTATGATGCTTAAAGTCATGGGCAGTGGCAGGGGATTGGCCATCCTGTTCAGACCAGCCATGTGCCCACTGCCCAAACAGAACTGGCTCTGGTTTACCCCAGAGCTACAACGGCAGCTTCTGGGCACCTTTGCTGAGACAAGAGATTCAAGGTGGCAAAGAATGGCACCGCACTGCACTTCTTACACCAGAGGGCCAAAGCAGCGTGATGATGCAGATTCAGGTTCTGCTTGCAGCGAAGTCGAATGGCCATGCTCTACCCAGACTCTGTTTAAGAGCTCTCATTGATGCATCTTCCAAAGAGGTGATGCTGATCCGCATTTGGTAAATCAAATGAACTGAGGCACATTTAGGAAGCGGGACACAGCATCTTTCCCCTTCCCCCTTACAATGACCTTGAGAGGCGGGCCAGGCCCAGGGTCAGCCAATGAGCTCCATGCCTGATCTTGCAAGATGAGGAATCCAACACTATCGGCTGCCCTGCTTGACATGCGGAAAGCGGCTTACAGGTGCTCTGCTGTACCATGCATGGCAGCAGCTTCCCTCAACCCGGTGCCCACCAGCTGGGCTGGATGACCACTCCCATCATCCCTGCCCAGCAGGGTCATTGCCCATTCTAGCTGGTTGGGGGAAGGAAGCACTAGAATGCTGAGAAGCCGCGCACGGTCCTGATTGCTTACGAAGGGAAGGTCAAGGCTGGGAAAGGGGCAGAAAAGGGCACTGGAGGGAGGAGAGTGCATTTAAGAGCATCGAAATTTGCCCAGTACTCTAAGTGGCCAAACAGCTGTCAAAAGGAAACCCACAAGTAAACACGGGGACCAACACGTCTTTCCACTTGCTTCCCTCTCCAGCAGCTGCTCCTCAGCCCATCGCCTCCACGAGCCTCTTGCCACTGCGACGAGTAGTCAAGCCATCTAAATGGGTAGCCACCATTATGTCTTGCGGGAGGCAAATTCCAGAGCTTAATCGTTAAGTACTTCCCTTTTTTTTTCACGCCAGTCAGCTGCGTGGGATTATTTATTTATTTGTTTATCCCATTCCATTCCGTTTCCACACCACCCGGTAGCTGAAGCTCTGAGGGCAGTTTTGCAACAGTATATAAACAAAACAATGAAACACTGTGCAAAAGTCGGGATATCAATGCAGTGCAGTAACGACGTGCAGCCACTAGCTACATGCTGCCTCCAGTAACAGTGGCTGGAATACTGATGGAGACTAGTGGCTGAGGAATTTGCATGGATTTGCAAATGGATTTGCTGAGGAATTTGCATGGATTTCCATGACTTTGCATGGAATTTGCTCTCTCTCTCTCTCTCCTGTCTTGCTTGTGCAGTTTCTGTGAGAAGCTGCTGGGGGAAACTGGCCCTTGGGAGATGCTCATCCGTCCTTCTTATGTTTGTAACGGCTTGCTCTGAAGGTCCTTTCCCCCCACAAAATGGTACCTGAGGGTGGACATCAGGGCCGCCGAAGCAAGCGCCCTTTTATTCCCGTAGTCCTGATTTAAGTGAGCCGATGATGTGGAGTGGCATATACTCAGAAGGCTGATTTTCCTTCCTTCCTACATCTTGCTGCTTTTGTCGTGTTTCATTGCTCTTAATAGGCCAGGAATGTAGAAGTCACTGGAAAGTAGGGAATGGCAGGGAGAAATGGCACTTGTCTGCTCCTTCAGTGGAAGGGTGAGACGTCAAAACCAACCCCCTCCAAAAAAATGAAAAAATTGAGTCCAGGGTCTGAAATGGTTTAGCTGCACTATTCAGGGTGTGGAGAAGGTGGTTAGAGAGAGATGGAGGAGGGAGCGTGCAGCCCAGTGGTAAGGCTCCTGCGTGGGATGGAGAAGGCCTCAGGTACAGCTGCTTGCATCTCCACATAGGCCTGGGAGACAGTCCTGCCTGAACCCTCAGGGAGATGCTGCCAGTCAGTGTTGACAGAACTGAGCTAGATGGATCGAGGGTCGGACTCTGCGGAAGGCTACAGCTTTCTTTGGTCCTCTACTTGTTTCCTCCTCCTCCTCATGCTTTACTGGAAGAGAGGTGAAAAACTGGGAGATTTCGGACAGACAAGGGGAAAACATTCTTCACTCAGTGTGAGATCTGTGGAACTCCCTACCACAAGATGTGGCAATGGGCACTAGCTTAGATGGCTTTGAAGTACAGTGCGCTTATATCACACTGTTTGGCTCTTGGAAGGAGCCTGTGGTGGCAAGCACTCCGGAGTGCCTTGAAGGAAAGGAGGATGTATCAAATAAATCCCACACCTCACCTCATGTGAGGTAACGAAGCCAGCATGCATACAGCAACGATTATATATAAACACCAGAAATATTTTCCCCATCCGACTGCTCAAGGGGAGCGCTCTCTTTGCTTAAAGAAAGTGTGACAATCCAAAGCACCTTCCTTTCCTTGTGTGGGGTCAGAATTAAGCACCGAGGGGGAATGGTATCATTGCAAGAGGAAGAGCTTTGTCTTAAAATCAATCCTGTGGCAGAGAAAAGAGGCAACACACACATTGGCTGAGCCAGCTTGGTGCTTCCACCTGTGTTTGGCAGAACCCCAAGCAAGCAGGCAAGCAAGCGTGTTTCCAGTTCTCAGGGTCTGCTGAAGTTTGGCAATGCATTGGCTGGATGATTAGTAGTCTGGAGGAAAGCAGACAAACATGGGAGGCCCAAGTATCCCCCCTATGCTTCCTGGCCTCATAATTTCTGGAGACCTTGCATCTTCAAGGAGTTGTTCCATATCTGAATATATCAGCAAAAGAGCCAGATGTTCCTCAGGGCATGTGGTATGGTCTTGTTGGGGAGGGGGCTGTAGCACTGTGCATTGCACAGGAAAGAGAGAATCTCCCCCCTGAAAGTGTTGCTGCTGCTTCAAGGCCTCCCTGTTCAGACGGGGCAGGTATAGGTAAGATCCTCACCTGCCTTGCTTCCTGCACAGCAGCAGAAGGGATGTGGTGGACCAGGCCTTGAGGAATACTTTTTACTTATAATCATTTATTATTAGCAATTTCTCAGTTAAGCCACTGCAACTCAAGTGGCGGAGCAGCTAAGGCATTTGAACCCTGGGCTTAACCCTCTCGCCCCACGCCCTGCTGGTTGGCAATTCCTGTCACTGTTTTAGGAAGCCCACAAATAACATCGCTCTGGCCCACTCTACTGCATTCCCGATACTTCAGGCTGATAAACAGGCAGAAGAAAGTTTGCACGCATCATTTAAAAGCCACACAAGCCGGATTAAAGTCCGGGCACGGCCAGGCTTGCATTTCAAACGCCCTCCTCTCAGGATGGCAGCGACTCCAGGAGAGCAGCCGGCTCGGCCGCCCTCCTGGCCGCCCGCTGTCCGGGGAGGGCGCAGCGAGCCAAGGCCCGCGCACCTGCCCAGCAGGTGCTGCGGGGCTCCCTCCCCATCGCCGAGCGCGGCCCCCGGGCTGCGGCCCGCGGAACCCACCCGCGCAGGACGCAGCGCAGGCGCGGGCGCGGGGGCTGCCAGGGATCCTCTCCCCCCGGGGCCTCCCTCCCCGTCGCGGCTCCAGCCTCTCCCGGCGGAGCCCGCGCCCCGCGCCGGCCGCGAACAATGGTGCGGGGGAAGCCGGGGGCGGGCGAGGGCCCTCCGCCCCGCCCCGCCCCGCCTGGCACCGCCCGCCGCGCTCCGGGCGCCCCCGCCGCCCCCTCACCTGAACCGCTCCTGCCCGGCGGTGTCCCAGATCTGCAGCTTGATCCGCTTGCCCGGCTCGATCTCCACCAGGCGCGAGAAGAAATCCACGCCCACGGTGGGGTCGGAGACTTGGGCGAAGCGCCCCTCCGTGAAGCGGCGAATGAGGCAGGATTTGCCCACGGTGGAGTCTCCGATGACGATCAGGCGGAACTGGTACAGCCAAATGGCCTCCATGCCGCGCCCGCGCCCGCGCCCTGGCCGGCCGCTGCGCGCTCGCTCCGGAGTCGGCGCGCCGACGCGGGAGACGCGCCTCCCGGGGGCCCCGCTAGGCCCGCGCGGGGACGGGGCGCGCCTGGCCGGGAGCCCAGGGGGAGCTGCCCATGCCCGGCCGGCGAGGCCCTCCCGCCGCGGTCCCGGCGCCCCGCGAGCCGGCCGGGCCCCGCCAAGTGCGCCGGGGGCTCGGTGCTGTGCGCCGAGAGCGCGCCGCTGCGCCCGCACCGGCCACGCGGCGGCGCTCCTCCTCCTCCTCCTCCTCCTCCTCCTCGCGGCTCCCTTGTTCGTTCACCGAGGGGGGGGGCGGGGGGAGCGGCGCGATCGCCGCAGCGGGCCTTCTCGCGAGGAGGAGCAGGCTCCACGCGTGGCGGGCCCTGCCCGGGAAGGGCTCCTTCTCCTGGGTGGGCGCGGGTCGCCGACCTCGCCGCTGTCCTCCTTTCGGGCCTCTCCACGCGCGCGCTGCCCCCGGCTGGGAATCCACGGGAGGCCCCGCGCCTCTCCCCGTCGCGTCTGCCCCCGTTAGCAGAGCGGCAGCGTTTGGGTCACATAAACGCGCGCCCCGCTCCGCATCCAGGCAAGCGCCCGCATGTCGCCCGGGGCGCCGATTGCAGAAGAAGGTCGCTCTTTCTCCGGGCCCCCTGCTCAGCTGGGGTCAGAAAAGGCGCCCTGGGGCCCTCCGAGTCAGTGCTCAGGGATCCCCCGGCGCTGGTTCGAGGTGCTCCCCAAATCCCACTGGCTGGACTGGGGTGGCTGCAGGGGGTCGGTCTGGAGCGGGATCCATCCCCTCGGCCAAGAGGCAGGTTGAACGTTGCTGGCGTCCTTCTGGCCCTTCTCAAGAAAGGGGCTTCCTCGGAGAAGCGGAGCCGCCTTGGATGAGGCAAGGTCTGCAGACTGCAAGACGGCCCAAGGCCGCGGGGACCATGTCTCCGGAGCTCCGCAGCACCCCGCCGCCGGTTTCCCTCCAGGAGAGAGCGGGGAGCGCCGTCCTTTTCGCCCCCCCCACTCCTGCCGAGGTGGTCCGTGCTTCAAAGATGGAGAAGATGGAGATGCCGCTGCCGAGGAGGGGAGGAAGGGATGCAGGCTCGCAGCATCAGCACCCAACTGTCTGACTCATCATTGGCATCAGCAGCCCAGCCGTACTGCCCACAAGAGAGGGGCAGGCGCTTCTCCGCTCCGCCGCTACCATGTTGCTTAGCAAAGAAGCGCCCTCCCAAAACGCTAAAAAGTAAATTAGCTTCCAGCGAAGGGAAACTATCTCTACACCAAATGTTAATTAGCTAAAGATCTGCGGTGGAAAATTCAAGGCGAGAAACAGCAGGCTCATTGCAGACTGAAACCATGTCTGAGACTGGTTTTCATCTCTGAATAGCGCACTTTGACCACTCAGGAAGGAAGCTACAGACTCAGCAATGCCGGATGCCAACTCAAATAACTCTTGTTGCATTTTTAGACGTGATTTGCTAAATGGAGATCTGAGTTGAACCTCCATGGCTGTCCTCTGGCACCCGGCCCCCTGCTCTTGCGGAAAGTGTGTCCTGCTTCTGCTGTCCCTCTGAAGAAAAGCGACCCAGAGCCGCTTGGCGCCTGCGTTCTTTGCCTCCCCGGAAAAGCATCACGGCCATGGCAGACTGATGCTGCTGCGCCGGGGCATCTTTTGCCCTCCTCTCCCTTTATTCCTTCCCCCTTTTCTGTCATGTCTGTTAGACTGGCTGCAAACAGAGACTGCCTTATCTTTTGATAGCTGCACATGCCCTAGAAAAATGCAGGCATGTTTTCAGTGCTACATGATGGGGATGATAACACAAAAATATTTCACTCATTACCCACGGCTCTATTTGCGTGGGGGGTTTCACCTTCGTACCCCATATCTAGGTGCCTATGGCTGCTTCATCTCTGTCTGCATTAGCTTTCCTACCTGCTTACCTCCATTATCAGAGGCGTGTACAATCAGTTGCTGGGGAACATGGGGAGGAGCTTTTATCCTCATGTCCTGCTTAAGAAGACAAGAAAGCCTGGCTGGATCTGACACTGTGATTCCTACTTGGATTGCAAAGGTTCCACACATAAGAGACACACAACTTTCACAAAAGATCTTCAGCCAGGTGTAATGCAACTGTTTGACTTTTAATTAAAAAGCAAACAATCTGGCAAAGAAATGTTACCATTGAAACTGTCACTGGGACGCGGCAACTGTATCCAGGATGAGGAAAGCAGAGTCTAGCCTTCTCTTGGTTGTCTTCATCCTTCTTGCCTTTACCATTTGTGACTTCATCCTATTCTCCTGCCAGGGCAAGGAGAGTCTGTCAAAGAGCAGGCAGTATTCTCTTTCCCACTCTGAAAAAGGAACCCACTCTGCATTCATCCCATCACTGGCCAGATTGGAGCAGCGGTTGCTCTTAGCAAGAGTCTCGACGACCAGCAAGTACCAGATCCAGCACCTCTTTTGGCCCGTGTCCTAAGCCTGGTTTCCAAGAAGCTCCCTGGGGCTGCATTCCAGGAACGGACGAAGCCGAAGGCAAAAGGGCGCAACCAAAACTGCCAGTGAATGGCAGCTTAAAGCTCTTGCTGGCAAGAGCTCAGGAGCACAAGCGTTCTTGAGTGGGGAAAATGCTGCAGAAAAGCCTCCCCCAGAAACATTAAATGATTGCTGGTTCGAGAAAAGCAGATGGGACCTCCGGGGAAACCCAGAAGTCCGGATTTGGAGGTCCTATACCCCTGCACTAAAAATTATGAATTGATTAGACTGCAATCTTTGGCCCATTCCTGGAAGAGACGTATCCTGGCGAGGTAGATTGCTGGTTTGGGTCAGCGTAAAGCAACATCTGTGTATCTATCCTAGTAGATCCTTTTTGCATGGCATTTACATTAGCATGCACACTTTCTTGGTGTGTGCGTGCATCTCTCCATGCATGTCCGTGTGAGATCCACTGCATCCTTTGCTCCAGAAAAGGAAGACTATAACCACTGTGGAAACAGTAATAAAATAAAATTTACCACCTCCCCTAGAAAATATTTACATCTCTCCCTCTCTGTCTTCTGGGCACAGAGCCACCATCTCGTTAAAAATACTGAGATGCAGTGCATACGGGCGGCAAAGGTAAACTGCCGCTCTTCCATGAGGTTGGGATCAGCTGAGGAAGGATTTCCGTATTGCATCTTTCCAGCTCTTTCTGGGAAACAAAAAGGTGCTTTGCTGCTTCGAAGGATGTTGCAAGCATAATCTGAACAGGCCGGTGCCCGCTCTTGTATCCTTAGCCAAAAATTCATTTCAGCTTTCTCCTTCCAGCCAAGGATCGCAAAGGTAGGGATCCCTCAATCCACTCATTGGCTGTTGTCATCATCTCCTGCCAGAAAGCCACCTCCTCCTGCGTGGAGTCCATCCAGTCCACAGGAATCCCATAGCTGTAGCCTTTAAAAAAGAAGGGACAAATTGTTGTGGAACGTCTGGAGAAAGGGTGGTCTCAGGGGCAAACATTTGTGGGTTGAATCAGATGAAACACCATGTGCGAAACTGGCAATGGTGTGCACAGCTTTTCAAAAGGAGATTGCAGGAACTGGGGACCGATATGGATTGGATGTATGGATTTGTCATATCTGCTCCGTCTATGTTTCATGGATTGTCAGGCATCCTCAACTTGTTTGCTCACCGATGGATTTTTTAACAATGATTTTATTGGTTTGCAGATGTGCATTTGCACTAATGCATATCGGGAGAAGCGCATTTGTGCATTGGCACAGATCCCCCAACTAAAAGAAAAACTGTAAGTCTGTTGAAACTACATGGCCCACAAAAAGCCGATCTTCTGCGGAACCTCTGCGGAATACATGGAGGATTTCTCCGTCAGCTTCACCTGCTCTGTGTGGGAAGGGAGCTTCCATGTTTTGCCCCTGCTGTGGGCAGGACCAGCTGGGCCCACTTCACTTGCTATTTGCACCAGGGCAAGACGTGTCCATCTGCTGCTATGGGAGCTTCCCCCACTGCAAACAGCCAGTACCATGGGGCCCAACATGGACTTGGACTGCAGTGGCACCAGAAGTTGATGTGGCTGCCAGTACCCTTCCGATATGCAAGAGGCCATGAGCAAAAGGACCTTCGCCAGAACCTTGTCCAGACTTTGCAAACCACGATACCAGTCACCAGGAAACCTACATGCCATCAGGGGAGCACAAGGGACCTCTGGACATGTGGAAAAGGGGTGCAGAGCATCTGGCCAAGGGGTCCAACCTGCTGGGGACCACCAGTTGGCCACCCCCCCCTCGCTGTTTGGTGGTTTCCCAGCTTTTGTGCAGTCCTCACCTGTTAGTCCCATATATTGGCATTATGACACTTAAAATGTATGACTTATAGCCCAGCTTTTTTCTTCTTGCAAGTGTCCCAGGCGGCTTACATGGTCTTCCCCTCTCCATGCTGTCTTCACAAGAACCCTGTGAGGTAGGCCCAGTGGAGAGGCAGTCTTGTGCGCTTCACAGCTGAGTGGGTATTCGAACCTGCCCCTCCAGAGTCCCAGGGCAACCCTCCAACTGCTCCATCACCCTGGCCGTCTCCAACCTGCTCTGTGTCTCAGTTGCGGCAAGCAGACTGCAGGGACACAGCAGGGAAGGCCCATACCTGTCCCGAGCCCCAGCCGGATCCCCCCGAGGAAGTGGTTGGTGAGCTTCTCGTGATCCCAGACGGTCAGCTCTACGCACGCGTCCTTCAGGTCTTCCGTGTGGAATCCATCGTACACAATCGTATGGTTAAAGACAGGGTTGGAGTCTCTCTTGACAATTCGGGTTTTCTGGTAGCTCTTCTTGCTGGTGTCTGGAAGAACGTAGCTTTGGGGAGAGGAGGAGGAGGAGGAAGAGGCATTGTCTGTTATTCAGGATAGTAACAGGCCATTACTATTCGGAATGTTTCATCAGCCACCCTGCCATCATGATATAAATACTATCCATCATTTATACAGCAGCTTTGAGCATTTACAACAACCCTGCAAAGTAAGCCGGTATTAATATTGTCCCTGATTGCAAACAGGAGAGGGACAGAAGCTCAGAGAAAGTGGCTCTCTTAGGCCCTTGCCAAATGCACGTTTGAATGGAGGTCTTTTGGATTCCGTCTCTCTTAGCCACTGTGTGGCACTACCATGCCCAAGCCCCGCAGAGTGGAGTTTAAGCCAGGACCAGGGAACTTGTAGTCCTCCAGACATGCTGGCCTACAACTTCCATGATTCTGCAGCACTGGCTGTGAGAGCCAAGACTGATTATCATTTGCCTGGAAGTCCACGATTCCTCCAACAAGACCCGTGATTCCAGCATTTCTCGCCTTGTAACCAAAGACTGTTTTCCCCAACATGATGCCTTTCAGACAACCAATCCCATCACCCATCATGGGGCTAGTGGGAGTTGTAGCCCAGTATGGCACCGGTTGGATTACAAGTCCCACAATCCTCAGTTGGCTGAGCTGATGGAAGCTACACATTTAGCGGGTGTCAGGTTGTGGGAGGTTGTCTGTTCAAATATCGCGACCCTTTCTTGGTGTGACAGATGAAGGGCTGGTTGGAAAATGGCTGTAAATAAATAAACCATGACCACACGTACCATTTCACAAAGGAGTCCACTCCAGAGGGCCGTAACTGAGGGAGGTCCTTCGTGTCTTTCACCCAGATGTGTACCTCACCTGATGGAGGAGTCTTCCGACCTGGCAGGAATGGGAACAAGAAAGGGCTCTCTCATGACGGTGGTGATGTTCGCTTTTACGTATGAGCACATGCAACAATGTCTTGTTGTCACCCCGGTTGGCTGGGACTGATGGGAATTGCAGTCTACCAGTATTTGGAGGAGCATAAATTGCCTTCCCCTCTGTTAAGAATAAAGGGATGAAAAGCAAGACCGGAGGGGAGGTTTAGGGGACCTTCCTTTACTAGCCTGGAGAAAAATCCATTTGGATCCCAAGAGTATAAAATACCTTGATTATGGCAAGGCACCCACTGTTGAATAACATGGAAGAGTTAGTTTTCCTCAGAGAGGTACAATGCAACCTTACCGAGACTTCCTGGTGGAATATACTTGATGGACAGATTCATCACCCCACGGTGATCCACAGAATTGATGGCCGAGAGACTCTGGAAGAGAAGGAGCCAGGGCTCTTAACAGTCCTTCCAGGCCAGGCTGACCCCAAACACTTTGCAGCACAAGAAGGACCCGCGCCAAGCAAGATATGTTGCACGATGCTCCTTTGGGCAGTGCAGCTAAGCCAGGTTTGGGTCAAACCCAGAGATGTTTAGATATGAGCAGGAGCCTGTGCTGGTCTACGAGAAATTACTTCTGTTGTACGTGGTCCAAGCCAAGCCAGGTGTTCAGCCCCCCACTTTCCAGTCCAAAAACGGTTCCTTTCTGTTCACTTTGAATGGGGCCCGGAGTGAGGAATTGGAGTGTAAGCAGTGGAGGGTGATTCTGTGTCTATTCTGTGTTCCTAGTCTTGTTTTTGGACTGAGTCCACTCTGCTCCCGACCTTTAATGGCCTCCATCACTTAAGGAGCAGGGTACCTGGAGGAACATAGGTCTCTTGGGAGTGGCCAGATCTGATACCCGCCCTCGGTCTGTCTGGCCGGTCTTGCTGACACTGACGGGCAGCAGCTTTCCAGCATTTCGGGTGGCGTTTTTCCAGCCTTACTGGAGATGCTGGGGGTTGAACCAGGGACCTTCTGCATGGAAATCAGGGTCCCTCCCACTGAGCCAAGCCCCGCCCACTGCTTGCTTCCACCCGGACCTGCTCATTCTTCTAAGCGCCTCAGTGCAGGGCCCCTGCACATACCCTGTGCTGAGGCGAACTGGGTGTTAGTCAGAGGATTCTGGAAAGCTCTCCAGGGGAGGGTTCTCCTGGCACCTCCCCTAGTGCTCAGTGCATGCCAAGCAAACAGCTTTTGCATTTTAATCCTGCAGGTAGCTTGATATGATCAGTGTGACCTTTCGCTTCAGCCAGCTGGAGCCAGGGGTCAGACTAGATGGCCTGGGAGACCCCTCCTGACTCGCTCTGTTTCTCTTTTCCACATGTAGATTTTGCCTGCTTTGCTTTTGTGCAGAGCATCTCAGGAAGATGGTGGGATCCTCTCTGCCCTGCGCTTCACAGGTGTTGGGTCCTGTCTGTCCAGATGCGGAAGTGAGGGAGAGCCTCCGTTTCCGAGAAGACACTTCCAAGTGTCCAGGAATTCTCTGTTCTGGAAGGAGGCAGGTTGGTGGAGCTCACTTCAGTGGGTCGCCCTGGCCGTGCGACACCCCCTTGCACAAGTGGGGGAAGTGGGCATGATGGGATTGAGGGGGGTGTAAGAAACGTGACAGGGATGCCTGCCCATAAAACAGTATGAAATAAAATCTTGTTATTTCAGGAATGAATCATGGAAAAACACCTCCAGAAACAGAAAAAGGCCCAAATCACAGATGAGTGAAAGCAAAAATAATCTAAAAAAATGCCCCACAATGTATGATTAAGCATTTCTTTCCGGTCAAGAAATCCAGCTTTGGTAGGGTTGTGTTGAAAGGCGCTTACCCGTGGTTTCAGCATGTACCAGTTCAGTTTATTATTCTGCCAATCCCAGCCAGCCAGGTCTATTTCCATCTCACCCAGGAAACTGTTCCGCCCTAACGGGTCATTGTGCCACACAGAGAGGTTCAGTTTCTGAATCAGCAAAACCATTTTTTCTATTTTGTACTGCAGAGAAAGGAGAAAGGAGACCCTCAGTGGAGACCCTCTTTAAAGCTTCGCCTCATCCTAAAGGACACCAGGGCATAGCGGCCTTCATCAGGTAACATGTAGCTTGACCCTGAGAAACACCTGCTAGATCCTGAATTCACAGGCGCTGGGGCAAAAATTCTAATATCTCTGGGTAATCTGCATCCATCCTTACCCGCAGCACCTCATTATAAATGGGGCTCAGAGTTCTTTTCTTCACTGAGGTTTTCCTCTTCCCCATCCGTGCTTTGTCTGGAAGCAGGTATGTTTTGACATACCTGGAAAGAAACAGGCATGGAATGAACAGTGCATGCAAATCTCGAGTCCTGCCCACAGCACCTGCCCAAGTTAATTCGGTCTCCCACTGGGTTGGCATCCAGGTACTCAGTGGAGTTAGGAACGAACCCGGATGAAAGCGGGCAGCAGACAAACTGCTGAGACCAGGAATGGGCAAAGGAAGCTTGGGATCTACAGTAGACCTCTGGGAGCTTCTGCATTGGCCATGCTGTCTGGGGATGATGGAAACTCGCTCCGCATGTCTGGAGGGCCCTAAGCAAGGGAAGGCTGGGCTAAACTATTATTATAGATGGCAGATTTGTCCCCAATATCGTTCAGCAGTTAAGCATAAAAAACATACACAAAGACAACCAGAGAAACTGGCTTCTCTGTGCACACCCTCCATCCTCAGTTGCTGGCTAGTCTTAGCTCTGGATCATGGGCTTCCCAGCTCTTCCCTCTAAATGCAGCCTTTGGGTCGGATGGATCTAGCTAGGACATTGTTCTCTTAACTCACGGGTCTGTTCTCCCCTTCTTTTCATCCACGATAGCCAGGTCCTGGCACTGAGAAACAAAAATTTGGAACTCCCGGTTTTTCTCGTCATAATCCAAGGCGAACTGGACCAGCCCCTGGGCACTGACGCTCCCAAAGTCTCCGCTGTACACGCTCAGGACGCTGCCGCTCACCTGAAAGAGGGACGATCGCAGTGCATGTTGCTCAGGTTCAGGATCACTTCCTTTCAGGTACAGAGAGAGGAAGCTGCCCAGGCTCCTGCCTAATTTGCACCCTCTGCCACTTGCTTTGGTCCCAAGAAATGTTCCTTCCTAGAGCCGACACTTTGTACTTCCTGGGTGGAAGCGACGCAGAAGGTAGCTGGCCTTGCACACAAGGTTCCCAGCCAGTCAAAGCTTCTTCCCCACTTCACCAGCCAGTTTTGCTTTTCCTCCCTCTTCTTCTACCATCTGGTGACTGTCCCTGAGGTTGCACAATTTCAGCTCCACTCCAAGGCTGCAATCCTCTCCCAAGGCATAGCCACGGGCAGTGAGACCTCTGCTGGCACCGTCCCCTTGGCTTTTGGCTCAGCTCATCACTGCAGGGCCCAAGACCTTCTCTGGAATCAGCTTCAGGCTTTGGGCTAAAAGAGGTTCCGCACCCATTTGGAAACACCAACATGAAACATTCCAGTGCTTGGGGGAGTGAGGCAAGGCAGGGAAGGGAATGGCAGGAGTGGAGAGGGCAGGAGTGGAGAGGGAGGCGGTGGAGGAGAAATGCATGCTGAGAACAGCCTTTCTCAACCTCCAGGTGTTTTGGCCAACAGCACCTGCAGGGCCAGGGCAACACGGGCGATGGTCAGGAATCTGCAAGAAAAGATGTCAGGCCGGGAATGGCTACCAGCTGCAGGCCAAGACGTCAGGCCGGGGACGGCTACCACTCAGGGCACCTACCGAAGAAACCGAGGCCATATCAGAGGAATGGCTCCCCACACTCGGACATTTCTTGTGCCTGCTGAATTGGAAGCTGAGTTCGGAAGCCGTGTCTGATTCCGTCTGCAAATCAAACCAAGAAGGGCCTTCAATGGGGCAGCAAGGGGTCGTGGGTGCAGCAGCCTTCCTCCAACCCAGCGCTCCCCTTGGACTATGGCTACTGGACAGCTGGAGTCGTAGCCCAGCACACCAGAGGCTGCCAAGCCGGACAAGCCTGGAGTAGAACGACACAAGCAGTTGGGCTGGGCTGTGGGCACGGTAGGAAGTTTGAGATACGGTCCCAGGCACCGCCACAATCCGGCAAAGATCAAACGGTCCATCCACAAGCAGTTTTCAGCAGTCGCTGCGTAAGAAGAGCCCTGTGCTGGATCAGGCCAGGGTCCCACTGGTCCCACACAAGGCACACACCGAGGCCAGCTAGCTACCCATGCGACCCACAAGCTTTGGCCCTGCTCCACCATGGACTTTGGCCTGTCCCTCAGCATACGTTGGGCTGCTCTTGAAGACCATTCAGAAGCTGTGCCCTTGCAAAAGGTGACAGCCAATTCATAACTGGGGCCAAGAAATCCAGAGGCACAGCGCCAGTCCTGGCCTGCTTGCAAGGACTGCCTGGATCTCCTGAGTCTGACTCGAGGTGCTGATTTTAACCCTGGGACCACCATACCTGACTGCCTGCCTCCTCCAACCGGAGATCAAGACTTGGGCTCTTCTCTGGGTCCCACCCCCAAGTGAGGCAACAAGGAAGAGGGTCCACTCACAGGTCTACTTTGTACTAAATGTGTTGTAGTTGAGAAATTCTTTTTAAATGTTGCTTATTGGAAAAAATATATAGGGGGCTTTGTATTTGCAGTGTGTTTTTAGGAACAGTGGTGAACCGCCAGGAAGCTTCAGCTAATTGGGTAGCTTATCTATGGAACAGATGCACAAATAAACCTTTAGAACGGCCCATCTGCTTATTTACCGAATGCCAAAAAGACTCGGTGAACGTGAGTCGGGAAACCTGCAAGGACTTACTTCGGAGAGCAGGAGGGGGGTGGATTTCGTCAGATCCTTGGCTCTCTCGGGCTCAAGATACTGGTGGGTTAGCATCTGAGGCTTCGTATAGGCTGGAAACCAGAAAAGGAAAGCAAACATGCAGAGAACACACATGGGTGCCACGTTCTGCGACCGCAAAACTTTCTGTGATTAGTCTCTGCTATCCCATAAAGCAAGGCGTGCAATTTAATTTTGGTTACCAACTACCCTGGCTGTTGCAGGAGGTTCCATGGCCCAGTCAAGACACTGTGACAGACCCGAGAGAATTTTGAAATGCACAGGGCTGCTCATGCATTTTGCAGCTATCTTTTTTTCTTGAATGACAATCATCTCCAGGAGGATGGAGTGAAAAAGGAATCCATGTCCTTTTCGTTCACACGTCTTCAGGGATGGATTCAGCTCCCTCTTGTGGTTGAAAATAAACTTACTGGCTATCCAAAACGACCTGAGCGAAATCTGCTGTTGTGAAAAAGGGCCGTGTGACACGGTATCCTTCCACAAGTGTGACTGGAAACCCGTGGTGAGATGCAGGAGTGGTGAGAATGGCAGAGCAGCCCTGCTGGTTTTACAGAACGGGTCAGGGAGAATTTTTACGAGCCAGTTTGGAGGCATGCTTAGGATTCGGTCGCAAAAGTTTCATTTTGAACGTCTGATCGCAATTGTCGTGACCGACCTCCTTGCAGGGCGAGCTGCTCTGGTTGTCCTTATTATGCCTCTGGATGCCCCTGTATCAAGTCCTGGCCCAATTTCAGGGGCATTCAGAGGAAGGCTAAAAGGTAGCTGAGTTCATCATCGGGGCAACTCTTGTTCAAAGGGTTTTCTGCTGCACTGCCCACTTTCAGGAATTGCCCTGTTTCTGTAGCTCTTGATGCAAGTGTGATCTTGCCACAAATCCTCATTCTCTGGAGCTGCTTCCTCTCACCACCAGAGTGAGCTGGAGATTGCAAACCTCAAACATTCAGCTTTCACTCCGGGAAAATATGCAGCCAAAGGCCAGGAGCGCTGCAGAGCTCCCATGGACAACTTTTCCATCGATCAGGCATACCTTTGCCATGCAGTGGCTCCTGGGGTTCATTCAGCTCTGCCAAAGACCGTTTTGCAGCATGCCTTGCAAAAGCCCTCCAGCCTGCCCAACGGAGGCTATTACTTACTTTCGGTGGTTGTATAGAGGTTCACCATGCTCTTTGCAAGATGGTAGCCATTGGGGCGGGTTATTTTCTTGGCAATGGGGACTCGATATCTGTCAGCCTCTGGAATATATTGGAAGGAAACAGGGCCATATTAAACCATGAAAGAAACGGGTGTTCCTGTTACCAGTGCTTAAGGCTTCTTCTGCTTCTCTTGTTTATTTGCTCGAGGGATTATAACTTGTGGACCAGATACACAACTTGGTGTTCTTGCTTAGGGAGTTTGGGCACCTAATGGCTTCCCCACCCCTCCCACCACAACCACTTTTCGAAAGATGAGTGTGAGGAGATTTTTAAGCCTGGAATGTGAATTCTGAGGCATGAAGGGCTGGTGCGTGAAATGGGATGGCAAAAGAAATCTTCCACACATGAGCAATTGGTAGCACACAAAGGTGGCTTGTTCCCCCAAATTAAGCCAAACTGTGGTAATCAGTCTGGGTTCAGATGACATGGCAGCTGACCAAGACTAATTACCCAGGATAGGTTGCAGTGTTGTGAGAACCAAGTCATACCATGGGAAAGCATTACACAGAGCGGCCAGCATAACAAACCAGATGGAGCCGAGAGTATTTTATGGTTGCTGCTGATGTCATTTTGCCATCATCAAAAGCAAGTTTGAACTTTTAGATTCTGAAAATTGCTCTACAGGGTTCCATGTTCAAGCATAAGATTACTGTGAACCAAGTTTAAAAGATATGTCTGATTTTACTGTTATGAAAGCTTTGACATTACTCTGAATGCACTGTGTGTGCTATAAACTTTTTAAACTTTGGTTTTGTTTATGTGGGTTGAGAACCACAGACGATCTTTCCCGTAATCTCAGAGAAAGCCCTTTGTATGTTTCTCCATCAGTTCTTGGAGGGTCAATTGCACAGGCTAGATTTCCCCACCCTCAAAAATTTATTAATTGGCACATTCAAATAAGTACCATGCCAGATTAATGGCTTGCTTTGCAGGGGAAGAGGCCAAACACCATTAAAAGTTTTCTTGATGGGCATTGGATGTGTGCAATGACACTGAACTATCGCAGATGTTTCACTGTTCCAACATTTTAACCAATATGCTCAGTATTTACCTGGCAATGTAGAACATGCTTGCAAGAGTTCTTTTTTGTATAGGCCCACACAAATCTGCGCTTTTGAACCAAGTGCCGTCAATACCTGAAAGCAAAGAGGACGCCATTTCTTGAGCCTTCCCTCTTTCAGCAGCAGCTTCGTTCTGCAGCAGGTTCCCTTCTGAGCTGCACATCTGTTGCTCCTCCACAGAGACCGTCTCCTTCCCTTCCAGCTCGCCCGCAGTGCCCACATCAGAGTTCTCTTCCGCAGCACTGGCAGCCTGATCAGCGTCCTCCGAAGGGACAGATTCGATCAGTATCTGAACCCTACCAGACAACGAATCATGCCTGTGCTTGCTTTCTTCTGCCATGACAAACTCATCGGCGGGTGTCTCTGGCTCGAAAATAATCCCCGCTTGCTGTGGGGCTGGCGTCTCGAGCTTGATGGACGGCACGCGGATCGGCAGCTTGGACCTCCTCGGGCAGCGCGGCACTTTCTTCTCCTCCTCTGCTTGGGACGACTTCCCATCCCCATCACTGAGGTTGCTTCTGTTGATCATTGCCCCTTTGCTTCTGCCGTAGGTGGACCTGGGGATGGCTGATCCAGATCCCTTTCTTGGGGGCGATATGTAGGTGGGCTCATCCTCACTGGAAGATATGGAGGCTGGTGTTCTGTAGGGGACTCTGGTTTTGGGGTGCACAGTACCACTGGGTCTGTCGTCACCACTTTGGGTGCAAGGGGCGGAGAGTGACCAGTTCAGTCTGGATGGCCTCCCATTCCCTTCCATGTTGTTGGCCCTCTCTATGGGTTTTTCGGACATATCGTTGGCCAAGGCAGACTCACTTCCCTTCTCCCAAAAGTTCTTCAGGTTCTTGAAATGTTCCCGATCAAGCCCAATTTCCTCATCTTTGTTACTCATCGAGGAAACAGTGTAGTTAGCTCCGTGTTTCACTGGATGGCTGTTTTCCTTTCTTAGGGTGGGCAGCCTTGAGCCTTTCAGTGATTCTTTTCTGGAGAGACCCAACTCATGTGTCTCAGCTCCATTGTCTGTGTCTGTGATGGGAGAGGACAATCCCCTGCTGGACTTTCTCTTCACAGGTATCCTGCTAGGAGTGAGATCTTCTTCACTCTGAACTGGTCGAACTGCTTGATGTTCTGCAGCAGGATCCACAACCTCCCCTCCAGCTGAGCAAAGGAAACCATCAAGCTCCCCTTCAGCAAGTTTCGCAGACATTCTCGCATCCTGCAAGTTCTCGCATCCTGCAAGAAAAGGCAGGATCCTCAGAGCCTCATAGAGCCCTGCCAATCTACCATGCAAGAATAAAGTAAAAACTGTTCTAATATTTTTAGCAAGTGCACTGCCCTCTGGTTTTGGGGAGCTGCTCAGGAGAAGACCCCGATGCTGGGAGTGATAGATGGCAAAAAGAGAAGGGGACGGCAGAGGCTGAGGTGGCTGGATGGGGTCACTGGAGAGGTGGGTTTGGGGTTGGGTGTACTCCAGGAGATTGTGCAGGACAGGAGAACCTGGAGGAATGTTGTCCGTGGGGTCGTGAAGAGTCGGGCATGACTTTGCAACTGAACAACACACAGCATCTGCCCAGAAATCCTGGAAGCTTAAAACCCGTAATTCTTCACTGATAAACAGGACCCTGTCTTGGTGAACTGAACCCCATACAAACACTATGATAGGTTAAACCCACTGAGAGGGAGAGTTTCCATATTCTGGAAGAGCAACCTGGGTGGAGGGCTGCACAATCTCCAACTGAGCTCTGAGGGATGGTGGAGGACAGGAGAGCCTGGAGGAATGCTGTCCATGGGGCCATGATGGGTCAGGCACGACTTTGCGACTCAACGATCAGGAGCTGCATTTTGGCAGAGCCAGAAGCCAAAAGGGCATGTGGGGGGGAATCTCCCCTGCAGTCATTCCTGCCTTGCATTAGATGAGCAGATGCCTCCCAGATCAGGACCTACAATCTCTAGGGCTAAGCGCAGTGGCTGCATCACTCGGTCATCACTGCCATTAAATCACTGCCCGTTGCCTGCACTCACCGTCTTCGCCACGCCGGCGTTTCCGCAGGACCGCGTGCTGCAAAGCATTCCACTTGACGAAGCAGCTCCGTGGGAAGAGACCTTCAAAGCATACGTTAATAAATGAAATGTACCTTTCCCATACTCTGGTGAGTCGCTTCTTGTAGCCAGGAATGGACTTACTCCAACGCCACTGTCCACTGGCGAGGTATCATCCAGGCTGGATCTCTGTAGGAAAAAGAAGAGTTGGCTTTCTCTGCTTGGATGGAAAGGACTGTGCTTGGGGATGCTCAGCACAAATGGGGAGCTCTCGGGGCCATGGGAACTGCTACCTTTTCTGTAGTGGAGGGCAGGGTAGACAGCCTCAGTCTTGGCTTAGGCTTGGCTCTGTGTTCTTGTGCCGAATCCAAAAAAGGCTCACACGATCTATGGGGACAGAACAACCTTTTACTAAAAGACACAGTATCTGAGCTGTGAGAAGTCATGGATTTGATTTCAAGGAAGATGCTGCTCCTGTGCCTTTCCTTTCCCTTCCTCTTTCTAGTTGCTCTTTTTAAATACTTTTCCTACACCTGTTTTAAAAACCAACCAACCATCCAGGTGCATCTTTCAGATGGACCCAAGCAAGGCCTTCCGAAACTGGGAAGGCAGGCTACCAGTGAAGAAGTGGAGCATGTAGAACAGAGTGACATCCAAGGGTCAGAGGAAATGAGAGATTCATTGCCACCACGACCTGGCGCTCTAAGAGGTTGGCAGCCAGAGAAGCCACCCCGGGGAAGGGCCTTCTTGGGGACCCGAAGCTTCATGACCTTGCTGGGCCTGAAGGGGGCATGGTAGCAATCAGAATCAGCTTGGTCTCAACTTTCCTTTAACTCAGGTAACTCTGGAGAGCTTGTTGATCATGTATTACACAAAGCTTCTATGGATCTTCTGTCTCCATGTGCTGATGTAGCTCTTCTTTGCAGACTGGCTGTAACTTCTGCACCAGAAATTTTCTGGGCTGCAATCACAACTGTCCTGCTGGACTTCAGAAGAAGCTGTAAGCAGCATTCGAGAGTCCCTGATCTCAAGAAAAGCCAATACAAAAGGGGCAGGAATAACAAGCAACCTGACAAGGGTGGTGAGGTGGGTAGTATAAGACCACCAGGAGTCCACCAACTTGGACTGCAGACAACCATGGAAAAAGCTGTTCCTAAATGTGCATAATTCTGCAGGAAAAAAATTAGGTGGAGGCAACAGGTGACCCAAAAATGTAGGAAGACCTGAAAGGCCATCCTCCAATCGATTTTAAACCTGACATGAACACACTGAAAACTGCTGGCAAAACTCTACACCATGTGTGCAAGGGGACTGAACTTCCACGTCAGTGTGTATCAGATCGCAACCTGCATTTCAGATCCGGGGGAGCCAGCTCCCATTTTGCATCGTTTCCCTGATCATTTTTCTGATGAGACTAACTGGAAAAAGGACTCCTTAGTGACAGCAACTGGTTGCACTCTTAAATAAACACGCTGGCAAGTGTTACTGTTGGGCTGCAACATCTCAGCTGCTGGATTAATGATTAACTATTCTCTTGGACCCTTGCTCAGAATGGGTCCTTTGTTGTTTTCAGTCAACGAAATGAGGAAACAATAAAGTGAAACATGGTCCTGATTGGATGTTTCCAAATAAGTGAAGGTGACCATGAATGTATGTATGCGTGTCCTTGTCTCTGGCTTCAAAGCAAATGTTGCAGCAGGAATCGCCTTAACCAATCCTACTTGGAGTAGCCAGGAAGCGTGGCCAGATACTTTTTAACCTGACAGAAGCAGGTTTGCTTGGCGCTTGGCTGAAAAAAGTGCTGTTACAGTGTGACAAGGATCCAAACAATAGTGCTGAGACAGATAATGAATTGTTCTGGGGTACTTCTTTGCATTTAAAAATGTAATAATAATAATAATAATAATAATAATAATAATAATAATAATACGCAGTCTCCAGGCCTCTGGCTGAGGATACAGCCCTGTGCAGTGCTCCTCATGAGACATGCTAGGTTGCAAAGGCCGGGAGATGCAGCATTCTAAGCATTCTGTTCTGCCTAAACATGTTTAGGGTTATGCCCTCAATCACACCAGGAAAAACGATTTGGTAATGCATGGTTTAGGACAGAGATGTGGAGGCGCCACATCTGAGCTGCTAAATTTCCTTCGGTTCCCCCTTGGCTTCTCTTAGTCTGCAAAGTGCCACGTGTCCAGGTGGAGCTGTGAAATAACAACATCAGTAACCAATATCATGCCAGCTCTTTGACCCAGGGCTGCTTCATTTGCCATGGTTGTTCTCCATCTGAGACTTTCCTTAGTTAATCATTACCTTTCTTCTTCTGAACTAGGGGAGGGCAAAACGGTGGCTTCCGACGGCAGTGATGCCTCCCCGGATTCCGGACTCTCTCGGGCATGCTCGTTATTCTCATCTGTTCAAAGAGCCAATAATATCCCATTAATATAAAAAGTGCTGCTGTGTTTTGCTTGGCAGGGAAGGAGCTGCAAAAGGAAGCGGGTGGCATATGATAACAATGCCAGGCTAAACTGGGCAAAGTTAAAATGCGGGTACTGGAGAGACAGGCCTGCTGGAGAAACCCTCGGCACCACCGCGAGGCTCAACATTTCCTTCCTTGTTCCAAAGCCAGAGGGAGCGTTTGTAGCAAACAATTATTTGGGCACACGCTTTTGTGGCGTGTGGTCCCTTCGTGCCAAGGCATGAGAGCATTCACGCATCTTTAAGATGCGGCAAGACTCTTCACTGCTTCTGTGGCGATATGCTGGCGGGGCGGCCCTCTGCCAACTGTGCCTCCGCTGCCCTTCTTCCAAACAGTGCATGGCCTGCTGGGGATGGAAGCAGCTCTGCACAGCTGTCTCCTGCACCAAACATCTGGCTCACCCCTGGCCAGCGACCTGGGCCATGCAGTTTGGCTGGCTCCACCCGGCCTCTGAGGCCATGGGCTTCCTCGGGAGGAAGGGCTATGCAGGAGCTCCTGACTGGGCTGGGACTTGCCTGGGAAACTGGCATTCCTGGCTCTGGCCTCTTTAACTCCTGGCTTTGCAGACTTCAGGAGGCTGTTCCATATCACAACTCCTTGCGCTGCTGGGACGGCTGCCTATGGCAGCCCTGGTGGGGTGGCAGTGCCAGGCCTGGGCTACTGACAGCAGTAAGACAAAGCCACCAGGGACAAGCCTGGAGGTGCAACTGGCGAGCAAGCCAGGACTGCAGAATGACCAAGGGACGCCCCCCTGAACAACAACGCAGGTACACGCAAGGCCTCAGGAAGTGTGTATTTGCCCCTTTCCTCTGCAGGAGGCTTTGGGCCATCCAGCCTCATGGTTTTCCTTGCTTCAATAGTGAGCTTTTGGTCAGGAAGGCCTTCGTGTGTCTGCAGAATTGCTGGAGCCACCCCGAGACATTTCTGGCCAATGGTTTTAATCTATTGCACTGCTTGGGCTGTAATGGAGCCCAGCCTTATGGAGTCCAAGTACTGGGCTGTTCTGATTTCATCTTTGATGCCCCTCAGGTCTGCCCGTTCCATCTTAGCTGGAGGGAAATGGATTTCCCCAGCTACAAATGCACGCATGCGCGCACACATGCACACACAGAAAGACTTGGATCAATCCATCTGGACTCTCTCTGGGGGAGTAGCCCATTAAATTTACTACAACACCACTGGGTACCATCCACGTGATTGTAAAAGCCACACTGATGAACGTTCACTGCTCTACCTGGCTACCAAAGTTCGTGCTGCTTGAAACCCCTGCAATGCTTAAGGATTTGCCCAGGAGCACTCAAAGGGCTTAGCAGCTTGCAGGGAGCCCCTGATGGCTCGTCCAGGAGCAGGCATTCGAGCCTGCCTGGAATTACTGCTCACCAGAAAGCAGACAGCTGGCAAGATGCTCCCTGCAAACCAGTCTGTGAAGCTCATAGTCCAGCCTGCAGAACCGTCACTGGAGTGATCACCTCTGCTAGGGAAGCCCAGTTTGCACTCTGCTTCAGGGCGGCCAGCGAACGAACGGGCTCAGCCTGAACAGCAAACAGGACGTGGCAGAAGCTGTCAACGCCGCCGTTAATCCATTCCAGGATTTTAAGGGAGCTGCTTCCTGTTTGGAGTCAAAGTCATCTGATCTTGGCAAACAGAAGAGAAGGCAGAGGCCAAGTCGGCTAATAGAAGGATATCCCCCTTGTTTGCCCTGGCATGGGAAGAAGCAACGGCTTGGAACAGCTGAACGACACACCATGCGACTGCACGAGCTTCGACTCCGACCGTTGCTTTCGCGTTTAAGCACAATGGCGATCCATACGGGGTGATGAAGATGAAGACAAAGGTGATGATGAAGATGATGCACACCTGGGAGACTGGATGCGCCCTGGGCTATGCACAGCTTGTCAAGACCTGATTACTCCATGCCAATCAAATGGGCGTTTGACCTCGCAGTTCAAATATGCATTGCATAATGTTCAGGCTTTTACTGTAACTCTCCTCCTTGGAGACTTCTCAGAACTAAAATTCCTACGGCTCACCTGAGGAGCAATGTTGGCAGAAGACTTTAAAGTAATTCTGCTTGGGGTTAGCTGGGCTTCTTTTTATGTTAAATGCAACACCCCGCTGTTACTAAAGGCACTCCAGCAGCATTTTTTAAAAAGCTACTTTCAAAATAATAATATAATAATATACGTGCTTATGAAAATAGTGGCTTAGAGAAGGACAACTAGGAGCGAAAGGAAAGTGACATGCTTAGCTCACAGTTGTCCAACCAGTTCAACTTGCTTAGTTCTTTGTTTTTATTGAAGCTTTAGCTGTGCTAAGATCTGGACCTTTAACAAATGACTGCTCTTTCCAACGGAGGGCTGGTGAGCAACCAAATTTCAGAGATATGCAACTGCAGAAAAATATAGATGCCTTCGCTGAGTTATTACTCTTCTTATGCTCCATGAAAGAACTCAATTTTAAATGTATGGCAGCAATTCAGGCGGGATACACGGACACAAACAAAAGCAAACATAAAAACCTCGACGTTCCGTCCATGCCAGTGCAGTGGCAGCCCAAACATTATCAATGCATTGAAAGCAGCACCAAAGGTCGGGGTGGATGCACCCACCAATCTGCTGGCAGCCTGCTCTCAAGGTCTCCGGTCTGTACAGGTGTTCTTCCTTCCCATTCCTATTTCCTTCTCACCTGCCATCCTCCTCTCGCCCAGGGCAGATGAACAACAGAGGCAAGAAGGAGGCAGTGCTTCTGAGGCCAACCTTTTAATTAGGAAAGGGTGAGCATTTCATTGTAGTTGGGCTTGTTCAGGATGTACCAACAGTGGCAAAGTTCTGGGACACAGAGAGCCGGAGATTAAAAACCTGAGATCTGAAAGTGTTTGAATGTGAGACTGCACACCTGAGAACTTGAGATCTGGACAAGCAAAGAGAAGCAATGGCTGGCTGGGCTGGGGAATGCCGGGTAGTAGGAATTTTTCTTTAGTCATGCCTGGGATTGCACCCTAAGCAGAGGAATCCCCAGGAAAACACTCAGGGGCTGTTCCCATCAGTGGCCAAGTTCTGGGAGGACCAGACCATGAACGGATACTGACCATGATGGCAATTGTAGCCCCCCAGTATCAGAGCTACTGTGTCTCTGAGTCCTGGGTGCTGGAAACACAACTGGGATGTCCTGTCGCACTCATATCCTACTTGTGGGTTTCCCATGGGCAGTTGCCTGGCCACTGCGTGAACTGCATGCTACACAACACGGGTCTGATAACAGCAGCATGGAGCGCCATATGCTCTCACGATTGTGCGCTGGATCCTGGCTCCCCCAGGCAAGGTTCAGAGGGCCACCTGCACCACGCATGCCATTAAGGTTCAAGTACTTACATCCAGAGTCACTCCTTTTCTTTTTAATGGAAGCTCGGAGTAGCTCTGTTCCTTCCAATTCCTCCTGGAACCGCTGAGCCTTCACCTCATGGAACCATTGGCCGGTCAGACATTTCTTTTTCTTTTCATCCTTCAGCGACCTTTGCATCCGTCTAAGGAGCAATGAAAAGCAAGCTAACGCCACGTGTTTCGGAACACCGTAAGGCCAAGATTCCTGACTCCACACACACACTTCCCAGGTTTCCCCTGTCTTGGTGGCCTCCAGAAGTTATAGACTACAATGCCTAGCCTTCCGGACCATTGGCCATGCTGGCTGGAGCTGATGGGAGTTGGAGACCAGCACATTGGAGGGCCCCAGGCTGGGAAAAGCAGGGTAGGAAAGCCTGCTTGGGGCCTGTGGGCACTTATGGCAATTTGAGGAACTGTCCTGAACACCAGCACAAGATGGCTGCCATGGGAGATGGGACTAGGTGCAAGCCACAAGCAAGCTCCTCAAAAGCTGCAAGGCAGGGGAAGAGTCAGGACCCCACCAGTGCCTTCGAACCTCTCATTTCAGTGCCCGCCAGCCTCTCTCTATATATCCATCACGCTGCATCCCTTCTCCTCGACGGCAGGACCATGAAACCCTCACTCATGCTCCACCAGGATCTCATCCACGGCAAGCTCAGTCTTGCAGAAGAAACTCACTTCTCAAAAATGCACGGACATTCAACGCAGTCCTACCTTATGCGATCCCCATCCTTCCTTTTGAGTTCTGCATCTCTCTGAAGCACCTGCATCAGCTTCCCATACTCCTCCTCGGTCAGAAAATTGAGGTCCAGCATCTTTCCCTCCTGGCAGCACTTCAGCCCAGCCAAGCGCGCGCATACCAGAAGCAGCGACGACAGGAATGAGGAGGCCACTGAGCCGTGAACAGAGAGCCTGCGGGGGATTATTTCAGGTCGGGATACACATGTAATTCTTGCCGTTCACAACAGCATTTTTTGCAGGTGCGCCTGGCGGCAGATGCAAACTGGAACTCCCCCGCACAGGTCTGTTCTTCTTTGGCCCAGTTCTCTCTACAGCATGCCCCTGCGGACGAAAACAACCTTCCCGGGAGAGTTTGGCCCCTTTGTCCATCCACAAGTGGAAGAGTCACTGTGTCCACTTCACTGCACGGTCCAGACGAGAAGAAGGGCAGCTATTGGCTTGGAAGAAAGTCAGAGGATGAACGTGCCAGCTGTCCCGGTACCTGCTTCCTGCCAATACGATGTCTGATTCAGTTGCTCCTGCAAGGAAAACAAAAAAGGGAGAGGAAAGCAGCAAGATGCCTTTTTAGATAAAGGTGACATGTGGCGATCGTATGTGTACTTTGGTGGTGCTTAATTGCGCCCAAGCACATGATATCTAGCAGGCAGCTCTGCACCTGTGAATTCGTGCATACATTTGTGTTGAACTGTAAGAGATCTTTCTATGGAAGCGACCTGAAAACGACAGTTCGTCTCAGCCTCAGTGAATCGCAAGGGCAAACAAAGTGAGGAGACAGTGTCAGTAACTGCCTTAGGGGAAGGAACGGCCGGCTCGTGTCACCCTGATCTTTCCAGCTCATACCCTTTTCTGGTTTTGTTCAACTTAAAATTATTTTAGGTTTTCACTTACAGCTAGACTCACAGATCTTTCCAGTCTGAAGACTAAGGCAAAGAGAGTGTCCTAACGTTACAGAAACCTCTACCAGAAAGGCTGTCAAGGAACAGTCCTCTTTTTGAAGGCATTTTCCATTTGATGGTCTGTCTGGTTTAAAACTGTGAAGTAGGCAGTCTGTGTGCCTGGGCAGCAGGTATGTTGTGACGATCGGATATGCAGCAGAGGCAGAAGCCAACCCCGAACCAGGCCGTCCACTGCTGATGCAGCCCAGCATTTCTACTCAGTGATGACCATTGCTTCTCGACTGGCAGCTATAGATCTCAATTATTTATTTTTATTTTATTTATTAAAACATTTTTATGCCGCCCCATTCGCCGAAGCCTCGGGGCGGCTTACAACACTAATTAGCACGTGCAACAGCTACGTCAGTCTGGTCCTCTCTTGCCCTGCAGTGGATTTCTCTCCCTGGAAGTCACCCAGTCCCTGCTTCCTCCTGAGAAATAGCCATCTTTCTTCTTCCAGGTGGCTGGCAAAGAGCCACAGCGACATTCCTCCATGCCCTGCAGCTTAGGGAGCCGCATGAAGCCCACTTCTGAGGAACAGCGACAAAAGCTTGTCTTGCAACCTTCGCAGGGCGAGCGTTGCGGACAAATTGGTTTATCGCGTCGAAGCGCCCCAAAAGCAAAGCGTGCCGCCTTCAAGAAACGCGCACATCTCTTTTCGGTGCTGCTAACCTCGCGGTGTCCAACAGGCAGAAGTAAACAGCCTTGCAGCTATTTGCTTCTTTTGTGAATGCATCACGCACGCACTCGGCTGCAAAGACGGCGCTTGCTTTTGTACAGCTCGCGCATTTCCTTTGTAGTATCTGTTTACACGATTCTCAGTCTCCGGGAGCCTCAGGGGAGAAAAAGAAAAGCCATTGAAGTTTTCCTTGCAATCTCCTGCTCGCCATGCCATGGCCTTAACAGCACCCACAGGGGGGAAATTCCGTGCATTGCTATCACGGAAAGACGTTTATAGTGCAGGGAAGAGACATTTGGCTCGCTTGCTCGCCTCTTCCTTAAACAAACGCAAATGCTTCAAGATTTCTGGCTCGGAGACTGGGAGCAATTATGAGACTAGCATCAATCGTGGTATCCTGCAGCGCAGAACCCACATGTCCCAGCCCCCTGGGACAGAGCTGGTGCAAGCTCTCCCACTGGCCAGGACAGGTGTCCCACCGCCCCTGTCGTGCTTTGGGCACCCTTTCTCCATGCCTGCCTTGGAGGAGGGATGCAGGCCAGAGCCAGGCGCCTGGGTCTCACGGGCTCTCTAAAGAACATCCTGGCGTCCCTTCGCAGCCAGCGGGGCTCTCGGGAGGGCTGCCTCCCACCGTTCTGCAACTTCAGCTGTGAAGACTGATGCAAGGAGTCCATTTTTTGCAGATCTCTTATCCTCCTTTAACACTGTTGTCAGCCAATGGTCCATGTGCTTCCTTAACCGGTTTCCTGCTTCGGATGCATTTAAATAGTTGTTTATCGCTGGTCTTAATGTTACTAACAATAGGATGCTTCAAATCCCCCCTTTAGCTTTCCTTATTAGCTGCTTGCATTTCCTTGTGTTTCTTTTCTGTTTTCCCTCTTTGGGCAAGAGGCTTTCTCAGGAAATAAAGCTGGTGAGGGCAATTTGAGCTCCTCCAACCGCACCGGCTCAGGGGTGCTGTTACCTGAGACGGAAATGTGCCCCTGCAGGAAATGTGAGGGAGTGGGGGGCTCATGTGGCCCCTGGGCGAAGTTAGTGCAGGCTTGACTTCTCCAAGATCTTCTGCAAATCTTCTCTATGCACCCTTCCCTTCTGATGCAAGGGAAGGACAAGCAGGAAACTGTTTTTGGTTGCAATGCCCTCCAGTCCATAAGACCCTTCCAAGGCAGTTCTCCTTGTGCCTATAATGTTGTCGTTGGCAACATCATAATCATCATCAATATTATAATGAAATCACAGGGCTTTTATTCCCCTTTAGGTCCCTGGAACATCTCTCTCTCTGTCTCTGTCTCTGTCTCTGTCTCTCTCTCTCTCTCTGTCTCTCTCTCTCTCTCTCTCTCTCTCTCTCTCTCTCTCTCTCTTGCGATTTATATCCTGCCTTTTTCCTACAAAGGACTCAAGGCAGCTCACATCATTCTCCTCCTCCATCTTATCCCCACAACAACAACCCTGTGAGGTAGGTTGGGCTGAGAGTCTGTGACTGGCCCAGAGTCACCCAGTTGGCTCCATGGCTGAGTGGGGACTCGAACCCGGATCCTCTGAGTCCCAGGCCCATGCTCTTATCTGCTACACCACACTGGCTCTTTACGGATGGATTGAGATTTCATTTTGAATTATTTAGCTTCCCCAGGAGCACTTGTTTGTGGAAAGCTTGCTAAGAATACAAATGAACAAAAATGACCTCCCGGCGGAGGAATCTCATGGCACCATTTTTCCTCGTCCACATGCTGAGGTCCTTGGACAAGTTAGAGCCAGAAGGGCCTTCAGAACGGATGAGTCCGAGCAGAGCTGGATGGGAGGCGGTGCCTGCAAAGGAGCAGGCAGGGCAAACTCTATAGGAACGGAAGACAATGGGAAAGAATCTGACTCCTGGATGTAGGTAGGAAGCAACGGAGCTATGTATTAATTGACTAGATTTGTGCCCTGCAGTTCTACCAAAAAGCGGCATGCAAAGATGTAGATCCCTGATTATCCTGTGAGACTGATAAGTGGGAGTTTCAGGCAGATAAAAGGAAATGCTTCTTCCCACAGCAGATAGCTACATTGTGGGTTTTGCCACCATGAGATGCACCCTCCTTGCAATTGCCACCTAATTGCCACCTAATTCAGCTCTTTACTTTTCTCTGTTGGAACGAAGGACATCACAACCTGGTTTGGAAGACTGCCTGGGTGGATGTCAAGTAGGTGCGGCATCTGCAGCTTCTGTTCCACTCTACACCTTCCCTGAAACAGACCCGGAAGCCTTGCTCCTCAGCCCATTCCAGCAGAGTTAATAAATAATTGCTGTTCAAAGAGAAGATCTTTGAAAACTTTTACATGCCATGCCCAGATACATTTTGATCCTGGATGCTTCTATGCAGCTCTTGATTTTTTCCCCGCCCTTGTACAACGTTCGTGTTTGGCTCTCCGTGTAATGCATGCATTACAAATAAGGAAACAATCAAATCGCTTGCAAAGTTAGCACAATCTATTCCGCACTGAAATTATGGGCTGTTCCCAGCAGGGGGTAAACCAAAATGGACACACAAACAGATCCTGAAAGTCTGGGGGGAAATCCACTGCAAATGGAGACCATGAAAACTTCATTTCTGTTTCCACAGCAGCCTCTTGCACTGCTAAGGCGGCATCTGCAATCTGGAAGGGCAGTGACCCACACAGGTGATTCTGTGCTGCAAGAAGCATCTGCGGAGAAGAAGCCTTCCAGGTGAGGGTCCCGCAGTCGCCTTCCCACTTCAGCCCCACTTTCCTGCCCCACTTGTGCCAGAGAGACTATTCTGAAGTTGGATTTTGATTTTGGAAAAGAGACCCACACTTTAGGTTGGGGAACTGACTAGTTACAGAATGTTCCTTTAAGCTACTGACCCGCCATTATTGTTACCCAGAATCCCCCCCTCATTGTGACACAGGTCATCATGCCACAGATAAAGACACGAGCAACCACCAGGAAGAAAGAACTGGGGCCCATGTATTCATTTCATCCTCCCACACAAATTTCTCCGACTTCAGAAATTGAATTGGGTGGGATCAGCCCCCCTTCCCTTCTTGCCTGTCTGTTGTTGAAGCAAATGTTCATGACAGAGAATCAGACCACTTAGGAATCTCCAGCCACCCACGACCCAACCAAGAAAGGCTGCACTGGGCAGCTGAGCGCTAAATAAATTGGGCACCCAGTGAAAGTAGGAAAAAGCTGCCCAACGCTGATCAAGGCAAGAGCACGACCTCTTCAAAACATCTGTGCTGCCAGAAGGAATGGCTGAGTTGACACAGACTCTGCAAACAAAGAACTCTGTGTGGTTTATCATCACCGTCACTCTTCCTCTTCCACCTGTGTCCCCTCTCCCGCTGCTGCCCCCGTGAGGGTCAAGAGCTGGTTCTGTCAATATCCAGAAACAATCTCACCCTTCAGAAATGCTCCTCTGAATGCTTGTATTGTTTGAGTTCACCAGTCTCAGAATGAAACACTTGCAAAAAGTTATCCACCGCCTTCCCCTAGTGTGGTTATTAGGGTTCGGCCGCGACGGAGGAGGCCTGCAAGGAAATACTGCAGCGCGTCCTCGCTGCCAAAGGTAACTGGCGCGGACAGCAGCTTTGCACTCAGAAAAACCCTTCTTCTCCTTCCCAGTCCCCTGAAATCACTGAGCACTGTGCTATAATGACCCTGTGGGACCAGGTTTGGGCTGCTGCTTGCCCTGAATGTGAGCGTTTTCCAGATATATGGGATGCGGGCGTTATTGGAGGGTGGAAAAGCAAAAGGTTCTTTGCTGCTTTCCTTCCCTTGTGCAGCTACACCTATCCCAAACCCTAACTCCAAACTTCCAAACCAGGAAGTTTGCTAATACTATGAGGGCCAACTTTGCTTCCTCTTCAGCATCTCC